ATTTTCAGACCTTTATGAGATTGAGCATGCCGCCTGTCTACGAATTCGTATCGGTGAGCTCTACGCAACGGTGCCACTTAATTCCCCAAAATCCTTCCGAATTAAAAAGTGACTAAAGTGACCCTACCCCCAAGGGCAAAATTGCAATTCATAATTAGAAATAAATTGAATAAAACAATTAAATTGGATCGGGGTTGTTACAAGAGCCGCCGATCTAAGGTCCGACAAGGTGCAAGTGGTGGGAGAAGTTGAGAGATTGAATGTGAATCCTTAATTTTAATTTTAATTTTCTTTGTTTTTTTAATTAGAATAATTAGGATTTTTTTTGGTAAAATAGGGAGCGTGAGTGAGGATTTAATTATTGATTATATGCGCCATTAAATTCATCCAAGGGCTTTTATCAAATAGGTCCTCACAGGACCTCATTTTTAGGTTCTTAAGTGAGCGGGACTGATATTTAGTCTATATTATTATTATGCATTGTATTTAGTCCAATTTTTAATATATTTAATCTAAGATATATACAGTTGAATAATTATTTCACGTCGGACATCACCAAGCTGGGCTTGCAAGAGTTCACTTTCGTTGAGACATATTTCAGGTCGAGACAAACCCGAATCATGTCTATTTCCTAATATGATTCAGCCCAAGCTCGACCCAAACTCGAAATTCCTAACCTGCCTCATTGTATATAATACACAATAAAGACTGTACGTTTTTGTATATGAGGGTGAGTTTGTGGAGCAGAGATTAAGGGCCCTTTTGGTATCCTATTAAAAAAAAAGGAAAATTAGGTATTAGACATTATTAAGTTTACTAATTAGTAAGTGAGATATTAGGTATTTTAGTTTGGGTTTAATACTTAAAAAAAAATAGCTATTTTAGATTAGGCCAAAGGCTGGCCCAGATTCGTTGGGCCAGCTTAAAAATAACAAATAAAAAGACAATTCTACCCTTTTCTCTTAAAAAGCCTGGCCCATCTGTAAACCTACAAATTAAATGACGCTTTTGCCTCTGAACATTTAAACGACGCGCGAGTTTCTTCTTCGTTCGTTTTCGTTCGTCGTCTTCTTCGTTTCAGAGCTGGGTTCTGCCATTGGAGCTCAATTTTCTGGTAGGTTTTGCTTTTATTTTCTTCGTTTTTCTGTCTTCTTTTTTCTGCTACGTTTTCGTTCGATTTGCATGCTGAATGACTGTCAGTTTTGGGTGATTTCTGTTCTCCTTAGTTCGGGTATTTCGAGCTCAGTTTTGTGGCTCGATTTTGCGGCGCGATCTTGTGGCGTTCAATGCTAAACCCTATATTCTTCGTTTCGTGATCAGATTTGATTTTAAGCTGCTGTTTGGTTGTGGAGATTTTTGGCTGTCCTAAGTTTTGAGGTATGAGTACTTTAGAACCTGTTTTCGTTTATATCGACTTGTATGTTTATGGAATTTAGTTTTAGTACTTTTATCGTGGTTTCCTTTTGGTTTCTATTCGAATTGTTTTGATTTTCTGTCATAAACTACATCTGTTTGTTGTAGTTTTGGTAGAAACTGCATTGCAGTTTCTTGTTTCATAATTCGATTTCAGACTAATATTTGGAAGTCTATTGGAATTTTACAACTGCTCATGTACATTATTTACTAATTTAAATTGTTTTCTGTTTTTGTTTGTTGTTTTGTTTGCATTTTCAAGGCTAATGGAGGTGTGTGTCATTGCCAAGTGCACATATAAGTCGGAAACCATGATGTTTTCAGTTTCATCAGAGTCATCCATGGTTGATATTTTGAAGACTTTGTGTCTAAGGCCATTGAAATGCAGTCGGTGTAGTGTTACTGGGCATAATAGGAAGACTTGCAAGGCTGTGATATGAACATTCCTTCTCAGTTGACGATTGCTTACGTTAGATATGGTTTAGTGAATGTATAGTCAGTTTCTGCATTGCACTTTTTGCAAAACCTGCATTGCAGTTTTAGTTGCTTTTAATTGGCTACACAGCTTCTAATTGGATATTATGATTCTTTTTTGAAGTTAATGAAAATTATACAATTGTTTCATGAGTGGATATTCGTTTTTGACTGCCATTGAATGCTTGTTTTCAGATTTGAGCAGATTTTGTTGCAGAAACTGCACTGCAGTTTCTGTTTATTTGTTGCAGATTTTGAACAGAACTTGTCCCATAATTCAATTTCAGAATACTTTTTGCTAGTCTATGGGAATGTTATAACTGCTCATGGAGTTAAATGTGTTTTGATATTAGTTTTAGTACTTTGATTATGCCTTTACCTTTTGAGCAGCAGTGCAGATTTTGACCAGAAACTGCAGCGCAGTTTCTTGTTCGAGACCAGAAACTGCAGCGCAGTTTCTTGTTCGATAATTCAATTTTTTGCAAGTATATTGGAATGTTACAACTGCTGACCTACTTAAATGTGTTTTGATATTAGTTTTAGTACTTTGATTATGCCTTTACCTTTTGAGCAGCAGTGCAGATTTTGACCAGAAACTGCAGCGCAGTTTCTTGTTCGAGACCAGAAACTGCAGTGCAGTTTCTTGTTCGATAATTCAATTTCAGAATAATTTTTGCAAGTATGTTCTCATATACCATAACTAGAAATATTTACAAACATCCACAAGAATTAAGATACATATTGTCTTGAGTTAACGAAAGGCAAATCACTAGAGACGATTAATTACACAGTGTTTGTGGTGTAGGAGTTTTGTGACATATTGTGCTCGATATTCATTCATGAATTTCTTGTCCACACTTTTTGGAATGGGCTGTCCTTGTGCTATTTTATCCATGTAGAACATGACGAACATGCCGCAATCCAACCTGCAAATGAATACGAGATTAGCTTTTGGTTTTGAATGATTTCAAATTGTAATGAATGGTTGAGTAGACACAATATCCATGAATACGAGATCAGCATAGCCAAAACAAGAACTACAAAACATAACAGAAACTACATAACAACATGGCGTGAAATAAGCAACATTCAAGAAGCACAGAAACTGCAATGCAGTTTGTGGTTCACTAAAATGCAAAAAACAGAATATACCAGAAAATATGCATCAACTTGACACGAATTTGAAAGATCAGCATAGCCAAAACAAGAACTACAAAACATAACAGAAACTACATAACAACATGGCGTGAAATGCACAGAAACTGCAATGCAGTTTGTGGTTCACTGCAATGCAAAAAACAGAATATACCAGAAAATATACATCAACTTGACATGAAATTGAAAGATCAGCATAGTCAAAACAAGAACTACAAAACATAACAGAAACTACATAACAACATGACGTGAAATGGAAAGAAGTATAAATAATTTAGCAGAAACTACAATGCAGTTTCTGTTTTCTTCAGTGCAGAAAACAGTTTTGATGCTCTTTTGTGATTTTTCGGTTTCTAGAGGTTTTCAAACCAAAACTAAACCCAAAACCTAAACTACATTGCAGAATGACAGTAAGTAAAATTTCAGAACCCTAAAATCAAAGGCAAATTTGTGTTAGGGGTCATTTTCTTACGATTTTTTCCCCAAGAGAGTGCTAAACCCTTCAATCGTCGTCGTTGCTGGTCGTCGCTTCTGGTCGTCGCTCGTCGCTCGTCGCCGTTTCAGATTTTGGGGGAATAGGTTGGAACTGCTGAAAGAGAGAATGAAGAATCGGCTTCGATCGTTGGTGGTCTTCGATGATGGTCGCACGAATGGGTTGGTGGTCTTCGATGATCGTTGGTGGTCTTCGATGATCGTTGGTGGTCTGGAGGTTTCTGGAGTTGAAGTTGAAGAGGTTTCTAGAGGTGAAGTTGAAACGTCGCGCGAAGGAGTTGTGATTCAATTTTGGTTTCGGTTGATGTCGTTTTGGTTCAGTTTTGGTTTGATGTCGTTTTTCAGTTTTTGTTTAAAACTAAATACTGAAAATGGCATATGTTGTAATTTTCATATTTTGTAATGGTATTTTTGTTACATTTTGGTTTTTTTCCTTTTGCTAATTAGACTAAATTGTATTTCTTTATACTAAATTAGTAAACTATATTATGCTTTAAAACTAAAGCTCCCTAAAAAAATGAATTCAAAAATCATGATTTGTTTAAAACATGAGTTTTTAAATATTTATTTTAAGATCTAAAAATTTATTGGCTTTGAACTCCAAAATATTTTTAAGATCTAAAAAAAAATTGAAATGAAAATCAGAAAATCAGAAACACTAGATTCCCAAATTGAAATTAACAAAAGAAAAGTAGATAGAGAGGAGAGAGAGCGTGGAGAGAGAGAGGAGAGAGAAATCTGGGAGACGAGAAATTGTAAAACCTCACTTTTTTGTTTTTTAAAGTAGGCATTTTTTAAGTTGTTTTTGAGTTGGGCTTTTGAAAAATGGGCTTTACCATACTCAAATTATGGGCTTCTTCATGCATGTTATAGAATTCCTGACTGGAAAAGTTCAAAGTAATTATCTCAATTAAACTAATTAAGCCAATAATTACCAAATAATATTTCATAGCATCTTCAATGGTTATTATTCCAAAGTAAAAAATCCTCCATTTTAGAATATTGTGTGTACTTTTTCAACAACAAAAAAAGGGTGGGGGTTTTACCATATAAGGACAAATAGGAGGGCACTAAGACAAAATGGTGCAGTCCCTTAAAAATTGGATAAATCGATCCAGTCATTGTCAAACATGATATGAAATAACTCTTATGTCACATGCTGAGAGTGATATTGAACAACTCTTGGGTCACTATTCGACAATGATGTAAGAATTATTTCATGTCACTGTCGGACAACGACTGAACCAAGTTGTCTAATTTTGGAGAGATTGAATCATTTTAATATTTTGGTCTTGTGTGAAGGACTTTTTATCATTTTCTAAAGACAATATATATATATATATATATATATTATATATACATCCGCCAAAATACAACCACCTATGAGGAAAACCAACAAAAAATAAAAGAAGACAAAATTAATATAATTAATTATTACTCAGCTAGCACGAACACAAAATTAATTATTACTCAGCTAGCATGGGAACATAGCACGTCCTAGGTACATCACCAATCAAAATCCCAAGACCTATGGCGGTGGCTCCCGGCACAAACGCAACGTGCAAATCTAAACACTGTGGGTTCATGATCACGCGTTGAGCCGACCGCCCCCACACACTCCTATACGTCGCCCAAATTGCCATCTGGACACTAAATCTCACACCCCCAAGCTTTCTATCCCTCTTCATCTTCTTCAACATTCCTTGTTTAAGCGCCGGTTGATCCCCTTCCCAATTCGCCATTCTAAGCCTGAGCCGCACTTGGTTCTTCGTCTTCATAGGCAGACCGAACGGCTCCACCTGCTCGATGGCCAGTGTTCTGTCCTCGTACAGAACAAAGCCTTCGAGCCGGTCGAACCAAATATGAGAGACAAGATTAGGGTTTCCAATTTTCAACTTGACGTCCCATTCGGCCGTCAGGTTTGTTTCGGAGACGTTGAATTTGTGGATGGTTAAGGCGGTAAGTTCGACCACGGGGGCTTGGGGGCCTAAGGTAAGCTCCTTCCGTATTAATGGCAAAAATACAACAATGGCAAGAGCGACAAGGGAGAGAAAAATGACAAGGGTGAATTTGGCAATTGTTGGTACAGAGGAGACCTTGTTATTACACCTTGTAGGAACATGAGATTTTGAATAAGGGTTGTGTGAAACCGGGAGCAATGGAACCTTGGCTGAGCGCTCAGCGTTTGCATGCTTTGAAATCGGAATCTCCATCACCGATGATGTTGAAGCCATGTTGATGCAGCTTTATATAAAGCTGATCAATATTTAGGGTAAATTGGCGGTCGCATGCATACAAGAGGAGAGCTCCTTTTCGCAGCGGGCCACGGCGTCAGGTTTCCCCTGCAAGCGAACCACTATGGCAGAGACGGTTTTAGTCCTTGCATATGTCGCTAGAGCAAGTCGGAGAGGATGTGCCCAGCTTGGGGTTGGGTCACGGATCTCCAATCCTGCTCAGCTCATGCGTGCATGCGGGCGTACGTTGAGGAGTGCTGGTCTTGGGTTTGCCTGGACCTTGTGCACAAAAACAGCCTGGGAGTTGGATAAGGATCACACATTTGTCTGGTGGAGATTTTTTCCAGCTCCTTTTGGTGACTTTAAGGCCAAAATAAGATTGGATTTAGATTGAAATTTGAATGGCTTTATAAATCTAATTTAGCTGTTTAGGAGAAATATTTTAATGTGATAATCATACCAAAATATTACTCTACCTTTATTACCAAGAAAAAGACCTAGCTTTTAAAAAAGAACTCCACCTCATATGAAAGTACTTCAATCAGTACCATTTTCATTATTTACATAAGCTGCCATGTGAAATTATCATTCCAATCCATGAATCAAACCAACTAGCCTTTGGTTTATGGTATTTGTCTCAAAATTGGTTTGAGGAGGTTATCTGTTCAACTCATATGATGATATACACTTTTGATACATTCGATATTTAGTTGTGGCTAGTCTCTGACATGACTTTTTTGTGGGTGCATTGATTATTGCAAGGGCGTTTCTAGCCTATGGCAGGTTGGGATCATGCTCGGCCCAAATGTTTGTTAAAAAAATATTACCTACACTACATATGTCCAGCCACTTAAATTAAACCTATACAAACCTTTTTTTTCTTTCTTTTCCTTCTCTCTTCTCTCCCTCTCTTTTTTTTCGTTCTTTTCCTTCTCTCATCTCTCCTCTCTTCTTTTTTTCTTCATTCTTTTCCTTCTATCTTCTCTCCTCTCTCTTTCTTTTTTCTTTCTTTTCCCTCTCTCTTCTCTCCTCTCTCTATTTTTGTCTTCCTTTTCAAATTAAATTAAAAATTATGATTATTAATTTTTTTTGTCTTGCACAAACCCCAAAAGAGAAGATCCAGAGAGCCAAACTGAAGTCTCCTATTCTGGAATCAGGAAGCGCGCCATGATGTTGTCGTTGTTGTCTTTTTAAAATTAATGTAGTCCCATGTTTTCTCCTGTTTTTTAAATGTGAAATAATTTTTTGTCCTTTTTTTTTTAAAATTTAATTTTACTTTTGGTTTTTTTTTAGTTTTTGTATTTTTAGATATAGATGCATTTAAGGTTTAGGCTCATTACGTCTCTCCTCATTATGTGTATCTTTTTATGTTTATTAATGAAATTCACTCGTACTGTAGAGTTTAATATATAAGTTTTGCCCGATCAGCTTTCGAATCCTATAACCGCCACTGATTGATCGTTGTAAAAGTACTTTATAAATATCCTATTTGTCAAATACAAATTCATAACATTAAACCTTTAAAATACGAATTCCGAAATTGAATTAGACTAAGATAATAATAGGTTTAATTAGTCATTCTAATAGACTGGTTGTTACCATTGAATATTCACCAACATAGGGTGCTTATAAGATGTGTGAAGTCCAGGTATTTTGAAGAAATAAAAACAGAGGAAGAAAACAAAAAGAAAGAAGATGAATTTTTTTTTTATATGTTTATATGACTAGCTTGGAGCACTAGTCATCTGCATTTGCATTGTTTCCTTTTTTGGGGACTATTTCTTTACAACCGTCTTGTTAATGGTGTCATGTTCGGGCTGCTGACACATATAATTCTCTGCTAAAAACTAGGGCATTTAAATTGGCATGTCTTCCAATTAGGGTTGAAGTGAAAACAATTCCTTTCTTTGTGTGGGTTGGTCTTCCGCTATTCGAAGGGGAAATTTTGGTATTTAAATTAAGTTCACATCAGGGACCCAAGGAAGCTACATCTTTGGCCTATCCGAAGGATTGGCCATATTCATAGAGACAAGCATTGTCATATGATCACTTCAATGAAAACATACGACACCCATCCGAAATGCAAAACCAAATGTTACTTACCTTTTTAATTACCTTTTAACCCAAGAGACATGCATGCATATAAAAGCAGTCACTTTACTATTCTTTATATAAAAAATTTATTTAGTTTAGGTCTTGAGGATGAACCACTTATTGTTGAGGGTGTTTTTCCACTATCAAGGGCATTTGGTGGCAGCCCTTTTGAGAAAGTAATTAGTTGTGAACCTGATATGGTGGTGGAGATGATACATGATGAATTGGAGTTTCTTGTGTTGGCAATGGCAAGTCGAGCTATGGTCACGATGATGATATTTCCTGTGTAGTTGTAAGATTTCATTGATTAAAGAATGCAAGGCATTTATGGTAGTGATTGATGTAAAATATTTATATTGTTATCTTTTATAAACTTTTATATAGATATGGACTAGTCAAGAAAAACCCTATAAATAACTGAATTTATATAAGTTGGTTGACACTGAAGTACTCTTTCCTCATTTTCTAGGGTTTACGATTTATGTTTGTTATATATTAGGCTGTAAAACCATAAATTCTTTTATAAAATTATATTTTAAAAATATATAATTTAGGGTTTACGGTTTAGGGTATTACTTTTTAACGACGGTGATTGAGTCGTGGAATATTGAGTTTACATCGGATGGTGAAACATCCGCCATGGTTTCTCTTTTAAACGATATCCTTTTTACAAGTGAGTCGTTTATTATGATTTACAACGTCTTTAATTTCTTAACCCCGACGTGGTTTGTTGTTGATATAAGAATATTTTATTTTTTTTAATTCAAAATATTCCAAATAAAATTAAAATAAATCCAAAAAATGAAACGTCAACTCCTATGAAGTCATTGATATATTTTCTTCCCCCTAAACCTTAAAAAAATTCAGTTTGAGTAATACAAATTTAAAATGACCACCCAAAAATAAATTATTTTGATGAGTCATAACATCACTTATAGTTTGATGGTTTAAGGTTTAGGGTTGTTATTTATTAGAGTTTAGGATTAAAGGATAATTTTTGGGGTTTACAGTTTATGTTTGTTATATATTAGGCTATAAAACCATAAACCCTTTTATAAAATTATATTTTAGTAATATATAATTTAGGGTTTAGGGTTTAGGGTATTATTTTTTAACGACGGTATTTATGTTTCCAGTCGATGTTTATTTTTTTGACAACGGTGTTTATGTTCCTTTAAAATGACGTTGTACACGAATAACAACGTCATCAATTTAAAAAAAACGTAAAAGGTTATTCAAACGACGCTATTGGTTCAACAAACGACGTGGTTTCTTTAAAATAAACGGCGTTAAGTTCAGTGTTTGAGTCGTGGAATAATGCATTTACGTCGGTTTTGGTAAAACTTTCGCCATGGTTTCTCTTAATTTTGACGATTGCTGTTTGATTTTGCATCGTACAGAGTTTTACCACGACGTCTTTAATGTAATAAGCGTCATGTTTAAAGTGAAATTTTAACAATGGTTGTTTTTTTCTGTCGATGTTTTAAAGAGTGCGCTTTCCAAACAAAATTCGCGCGACCTAAAATTTTCAGATTTCACTCTAAGTCTTATACTTGTAACCCTGAACTTTAAAATTTTCAGATTTCGCGCAACATAACATTTCGCTCTCTCACTTAATCTCTAATTCAAAGTTGGGCTCTTCAGGCTCCGTCGAATCCAAGTAGGCCATAATCTGTGAGCTCTGCCAACCTGTAAGTACAAACCCTTATCTTCCCCTTGTAAATTCATTGAATGATATTAGGTTGTTTTGTTAAAGGGTTTTAGATATATATTTTGCGATCTTTTAATAATGTTGTTGGAGGTATGGGTTCATGGATTTTTTGTTTAATATTTTCATGATCACTCTCTGTTATGTTGAATAGGGAATGGATTTAATTTTGTCGGATCTTTTAATCACTCTTTGTTATGTTGAATCGGGAATGGATTTATTATTTTCACTTTATTATAGATAATAGGGTATAGTGTCGGAGATGGATAAGTCATGGATGCACTCGGATAGAATATCGAAGGCATATGAGTTAGGGGTGGAAGAATTTTTGAACTTTTCTGTAGAAAATCTTCTAACTACAACACATATCCATTGTCCATGTGTTAAATGTGTTAATTTGAAATTGTTTGGGGTTGGAATTATAAGGGATCACTTATACATTAATGGAGTTGACCAAAGCTATAAGAATTGGACATTTCACGGAGAACCTTGGGAAGCAACTACTAATGCTAGTAGAAATGTTGAAGAAGATGATAACCATAGTAGGTACAGTTTTGTGTATGAAGAAATGGAGATGGATGATAATGATTTGGGTGATTTTGGATCCGATCCTTATGAGTTTGCCAATGTGATTGGGGATGGAGATCAACCATTGTACCCTGGTTGTAGAAAGTACATGAAGTTATCAGCATTAGTAAAGTTGTATAATTTGAAGGCAAAACATGGGATGAGTGATGTCTATTTTACAGAATTATTGATACTTCAAGACGATTTGCTTCCATAAGGAAATACAATACCGGCCTCTATGTATGAGGCAAAAAAGACTTTGTGTGCATTGGGGCTGAGTTATGAGAAAATGCACGCATGCCCCAATGATTGCATCTTGTATAGGAAGGAGTATGAAGATTCAACTAATTGTCCACCTTGTGGTATCTTAAGGTGGAAAGAAGGCAAAGATTCAATCTTGAAAGAGGGTGTGCCAGAGAAGGTGGTGTGGTATTTTCCTCCAATTCTAAGGTTTAAAAGGATGTTTCGATCACATGAGACAGCTAAGAGTTTGACTTGGCATGCTGCTAGAAAATCAATTGACGGTCAGATGTCTCATCCGGCGGATTCCCCATCTTAGAAACTTCTTGATGATAAATGGCCCGAGTTTGGTAATAAGCCGAGAAACTTGAGATTGGCTCTTTCATCTGATGGATTCAATCCCCACAGTTCTCTAAGTAGCAAACATAGTTGCTGGCCAGTTATCTTAGTTACATATATTCTCCCTCCATGGATATGCATGAAACAAAAGTTCATGATGTTGACCTTATTGATTTCCGGTCCTAAACAACCCAAAAATGATATAAACGTATACTTGGAGCCTTTGATTGATGATTTAAAATCTTTGTGGGATGGGATTAGAGGAGTGTATGATGCACATAATGGAGAATACTTTACACTCAGAGCTGCATTAATGTGGACAATTAATGATTTCCCCGTCTATGGAAACTTATCTGGTTGTGTTGTTAAAGGATATAAAGCTTGTCCAATATGCAGCGATGATAATACACCTAGTCACAGGTTGAAAAATGACCACAAAATTTGTTACATTGGGCATAGAAAATGGTTACCAATTAATCATCCATATAGGAGGCAACGTGCAACTTTTAATGGGAAACCTTCAAATATCAAATTAAGAAAAACAGAGCCAAAGTAAAATATAAAAACAGAGCGAGTTACAAACCAATTAGACGCACCGCCTCAATCCATATGGTTGATTATTTCTCTTTATTATCTTTAACATTGTTACGTCACAAGTACAAGTGTACCATGTGAACTTCCATGTGGGTATTTGAGTTTATCTTTAAGATTGGAGTTGGAGCTGCACAAAGAGTCTGCTAGCAATATAAATATATATTTTCTCCTATACAAACGTGGGGGTTTTACTATAGACACGTCTATGCTACAATTTTTGCAAAAAAAACCTTGCCTTACGCTTATTGAATGGAGGTCAATTTGAATTTATTATTATTTTTTACAGTGTCTTGCCCTAGAAGGTAAATAATGAAAACAAATTAAAAGTAATTTATTTAAGGCATTGTTACTCTTAAATTTTGAATTTGATTTCGAAACATTTATGTTTTAAAAAAAATTTCATAAGTTACATACATCAAATAATAAAAAATAGGTATTACAAGTATAATGCACGTAAGATATATATATATATAATCTCTACCTAACAAAAGGGTCAAAATAAAGTTTTGAGCACAGGGTAGGTTGGGTGCCTGCCTAGCCCAAAAAAGAAAATCTATATATGTTATAAGCCCAGCCCAAAATTAAAAAAATTTAAAGTAAACCCTACACACATGCTAACCATCCATGTGGTCTCATATATTCTCTTTCCTTCTCTTTTGGCTACGCGACATCAGCTTGTTTCTCTCTTTCTTAGCTACTCGACATCAGAAGCTTCTTTCTCCCTCTATTTTCTATTTATCTTTAATTATAGTTTTAATTTAAAATTGAGTATTGTAGGGTTTAATTAGGGATAAAAAACAATTTGCTAATAATATCGATAATGCATTGATAATTGAGGAATTTAAGATTTATAAGTCTTGCATGGTTAAATTTTAGATTTAAAATAGTGCTGTTTTATTTTGCATTGCACTTACTTTTAGTTTTAGTTTTTATTTTTGTATTTGTTGAACTTTTATTTATGGATAGAGATATATTTGAGGGTAAGGCTCATTACATCCTCCCTAACTAGGTGTATCTTTTTATGTTTATTAATGAAATTCACTCGTGCCGTCGAGTTTAGTATGTAAGTTTTGCTCAACTGGCTTTCGAATCTTGAAACCACCCATTAAGAAAACATGCATGAAGATAAATATAAAATCGTCTTACCTTATTAATATGAAGATATAAATTAGTATACTACATGTGTATATTATTGAGAATCGTTTTCTCCTTTGTTAATTAGGTAATCTACTTCGACACTTCAACCTATTTGGTAAGTATTTAATAATATGTAAAAGCCTTCTACATAGGTAAACAATTGACCTAGACAAATCCTTATCGCACTGAACAACAATCTATTAAAAGAACCAAGAAGACCAAGAAAATAATAAGTGAAGCAGAAGAAGACAAAAGAAAAAGGAAAAGGAGAAAAAAATAAAAATTTCTTATCGGACTTACATAGCAAGGCAATGAAAATGATCATCTTGAATTGTAATTATAGTATTATAGTAAAATGAGACAATATGCATTACACATAACACATGAAACAAATTTCAGTTCATTCGGTAGTGAGGACAAATTTTAGATGTGACAAACAACTTTAGATATGAACAATTTTTTGCAACGTAAAATATAGACAGTTTTAATCGTCGAAATACATTGTTGGATGACCCTAGAAAAAATGGGTGCACGTTTCTTACCATGTACTGCTGATGAAGTTTTAGAGTGCCCACTTCAAACACTGTGAAGTTGTAGAATCATGTGCAAAGCAAAAAAGAGAGTAATAATAAATGCCCCTATTTGTATGTATAGAGGCCAATGTTATCTGCCGTTACTGCTCATTTTTTTGGTAGTTACACATGATCAAACATAATAGTTTTGAAGTATGAACCTCAACATCTGTTCCGAATATTGTTGAATCGAAATTCAAAACACTTAAGACCCAAAAACAGCTACAGAGCCAGTTGGCCTCGACGCATGATTATTCATTGCTTGGTTCAACAATAAGAACAAGTGAAAAGTTAAACTAGACCCAAATTGTAACTGAAATCTGAAAAGTTAGTACATTTGCAAAACTGAGATAAAGCATCTTTTATTGTCAAAATTGTTACATAACAATTAACACATGAAAATACTCAGACTCCATTGATTCCAAATTTATGGATTTAGATGATATTGTAGAAAAATTTGTTTGTATAAATTATTACAATCCATGTATAGAAATATTTGGACAACCGAAAAAAGAAGAAAATAAATGGATTTCAAACCATGCTTTACATCTAGTTTTAGTTATTTATTTATTTATTAAATTATAAACAATAATCTAAACGGAGGACACAAGATTTTGAATTTGTAACCACTAATTTGCAAGTTAAGACCTTTTTACATTGTGTTAGACCCGTTGGCCCTTACATCTAGTTATTTGAAATATATTCATTGTTTATGTAGCAAATTTAGCATCGTCAAATTTTCCATCAGAAAAGAAAAAACAAAAATACTCACAGTTGACCTCAGTGACTCTCAGTTAAAATTTGTAACTGACTGCACAAGTATTTCCTATTCTTTTCGTTTCCTACGAACCTTTCAGAGCCCGCTTTGCTTTCATCTCTCTCTCTCCCCACAACTTCATATGAACTTCCAGACGAAGTTGCTTCCTCAACAAGTTTTTAAATATGGAATATTCAGTGTCCTTTGAAATTCCAAAGTGGCCCAACTCAGTTTGTTTTAAAGGCACACCTTCTCTGTTACTCTTACATTTGCCAGCAGTCTTCAGATTCTCTGTTTTTCTAGTTTCAATCTTAGTCACTTCTTTGATCAGTTTCTGTAAGTCCCTCCCTCCTTTCTTTAACTTAACTGCTGGCTTTAACACGCCGTTTTCTTCTTTGCAATGTGGGCACCGATTCGAATTTGTTGTCCTTTATGTTTTAGTTACTCTTTAAACAACTGGGTTTGTTTTTGTATTTGCTTTGGTGAATGATGCAGGGAGAAAATATGGAACCACTTAACAGGGAGATAGATGGAACCCAACAACAATCTGCTGCTCCTCTTCTTGTGGAAGAAGCGACACAAGAGCCTGGTAACTTCTCTAACCTCTGCCCATGCCTTGACTGCCTTTTATAAGTTATACCTGTAGAATTATTAGTTTACAACACTTACTATTGTTTAAAATCCTTTCCATTTTTGTTCTTATTACAAATTTTTATGGTACATAGATTTCTTTAGTGATTTCTAGTTGCCATGTGTGCAGGGAGTGAGCCTTATGATGATGAACAACCCAGTTATGTCCCAGCTGAGCTTGTCAAACCTTGGTGTTCAAATGATGCTAGTGCATTGTATCATTGCTACTTAATCGAGATGAAGCCGAATTTTTGTTATGATATTCCAGTTAATGATATCGTACTTGGCATGAGGAGCGAACTTGATTGCGATATTGCAAATATGACTTTTGACTTGGAAGTTGGCAGGGGTACTATAACTGTAAACTTTAAAAAGGCCGCAGAGATTCATCTTAGTTCAGAGCAAGTAATGTTTCCTGCATTTCAATATTTTTTTAGTATTATTATTATATCATACGAAAAATGAATTAACGGTTTCCCTTGTTTCTGTAATTTTATTTGCCAGGTTCTTCAATGCAGAAGGTTCCAAATCACAATTTTTCGAATTCTACTGGATCACGAATTGCCAAATTTGGGAAAAGTTTTAGAGAGACTTTGTTTGGGACAAAATCTTGGGAATGAATCAATTGATTACCTTTTGCTCCCAGCAGCAAGAATGCACCAGAGACCTTCGATCATTGATTGGGAATGTGTGACGTCTGTTTCATTTCGATGTGAAGAAAATTCTGAGTATCATGTAGATTGTTCTCCACCCAAAAATTGTTCCAGTGCTCTACATACCAAAAATGGTATGGTTTGTACTTGCAGGATCCAGAATTCCTTGGTCTATACCCCTCATACTGGTCTCCTGTATTGCATCACTGGTTTGTTGGATGACTTGAATGGGAACTCACTTCTGAGACCTAAGGGCAGGAGAGCTCGTAGCTACAAGACGTACTATGAAGAAAAGTATATTCTTGTATCATATACCTCTATAATTTGCACGAGTCATCTTTGCATTTTAGTGATCATGTGTATCCAAAGAAACATCATGAAATATTCAGAGTAGTTTCTGTTTCTATTGGATGAAATGTTGTTTCTAGTGCCATTAGGGCAGTATTTACATACGTGGAGTGTTTTCTCTTGTATATGCAATCCATTTATAAGTAACTTGAATCATTCTCTTGTTTCAGGCATGGGATCAAGTTGCGTTTTGATCAGCAGTTATTGCTCAAGGGGAAACACATTTTCAAAGTACAAAATTATCTTAAGAGTTGCAGACTACATACAGAAAGAGGTCTGATTTTCTAACCTCTTTTAGATAAGGAAGCCTAGTTTCATTTAATGGTTCGGTATGTCTTCTGCTCATCTTTGCAGTCTTGTCTTTTGAATGAAAATTGTGATCAATTATTCATAACCCATTTCTAACATATCATAATGCGGTTTGGAGATGCATTGCAATTCAGTGGATTAGGTGTGACGAATTTATAGGCTGATTTTACAATACTTTCTTTGCAGATTCATGTCATACATCTGTTGAATTGCCGCCTGAACTTTGCTCTATAGTCATGTCGCCTTTATCAGTCAGCAATTTATATTCATTCTCCTTTGTTCCATCCATCATGCATCGTCTTGAATCTTTACTTCTTGCTGTCAACTTGAAAAGGATGGTTTTGGATCGTTGCACAGAAAATGTTACTATTCCAACCATTAAGGTATGCTACATTTGTTCACAGGACAAGGTATTATGCTATATTTTTCATCGAGACGGCACATTTCTGTGCCCAGGTGCTTGCTGATATTTGTTTAGTGATTTCCTTTTTTTCTTTTTCACTTTAGGTTGATGAAAATGAATGTCAGGCTAGGTTGTTTTCCATGACACCACTTTGATTTTACTCAGGATGACCCCATCCCTCTGTTTTCCTTATAAAATCCTCTATGTTTTCATGATACAACTTAGATAATTGATTATTGTTAGTGGTAAACGCTTCAATGGAATCATAAAGTGGTTATCCGTGCTGGTTTTACGACCACCTTGTTGTCTTAGTATTTAGAGAATGAGTGTGATGAAGCAAGGTTTGAGTAATTCATCTTCTTTTTTATGATGATAAACAAACTTTCATTCAGTGAAAAAAGGAGAGTAAAAAGAACAGAGGAAAAGGGGTCCTCTGGCCTATAAGAACTGACGACCAAGTGATTATTTATCTGTGTATCCTTGATTTTTTGTGGTTCTGAACGTTACATCTGATTTTGTTCTGTATCCAATATCTACCGTAGGTCTTGGAAGCTATTACCACAAAGCATTGCAAAGAGAACTTGCATTTGGAATCCTTAGAGGCTCTTGGAGATTCATTTCTTAAGTATGCTGCAAGTCAGCAGCTTTTTAAAACCTATCAAAATGATGATGAGGGGGATCTTACAGCAAAGAGGGAAAAAATAATTTCCAATGATGCCCTTTGCAAGTTTGGCTGTGACCGCAAACTTCCGGTAGCATTTCTTTATTCTATTTACTTTTTGTGTTTTAGATCTTGTTATCCTCATGAACTGAGAGCTGTGTTCAGATTGTTAACCCGCGTGACTTCTCTATGATTGTTTTTGTATTGTAGGGCTTTATTCGTAACGAGTGTTTTGATCCGAAATCGTGGATTATACCCGGAGATTATTCTGGAGGCTCTTTCTTAAATGAGGAGTTGCCTTTTAATAAAAGGAATATCTACATTAGGGGAAGAAGGAAGGTAAAAAGTAAAAGGGTTGCTGATGTAGTTGAGGCACTAATTGGTGCATTTCTTAGCACAGGTGGTGAAATAGCTGCCATATATTTCATGAATTGGGTTGGTATAAAGGTGGATTTAGTCCATACACCATATGAGAGGCACTTCCAAGTGCAGCCAGAGAAGCTCATTGATGTCAGACATTTAGAATCCCTGCTTAACAACTATTCCTTTCGTCATCCTCATCTTCTACTGGAAGCACTAACCCATAGATCTTACATGCTTCCTCAGATTCCAGGATGTTATGAGGTACATGCAAATGCAATTATGCAATGACGATGAAATTTATTACATGCATGTCTACTTTGTAAAATGTTAATTGTATGGCTCATCCTAACCGATAACGGTTGTTCTTTGCTTGTACGGAAATATAAAACTCGGTGCATTTCACTTCCATGTTTGTTCAATTCTGTCTCTTTGAATTTACTCCTTAAAGCAGCGGTTTAGCTTAAAAAGTTATCAGAAGTGTGTTCTTTGTTGTGCAGCGGCTAGAATTTCTTGGTGATGCAGTGTTGGATTATGTGATCACTGTTTACTTGTACAATAAGTATCCTGGTATGTCACCAGGAGTTTTAACTGATATGAGGTCTGCTTCTGTGAACAACAATTGTTATGCACTATCTGCAGTGAAAGCTCGACTACACGAACACATTCTTGCTTCGGACAATGTCCACAGTAATATTGCCAACACTGTTAACAATTTTGAGAGTTTATCTATGGAATCAACTTTTGGATGGGAATCTGAGACATCTTTCTCCGAGGTTGGTTTTTAATGCTTATCATGCTCATATCATTTCTCTGCTACACTTTTTCCTTCTTTCTCTTGGTTGCTACAAGAATAAAAGTTTCTCCTGGATGAATCAACTTGAATGAACTCAATTGCCTTTAATAAAATCATTTACTAACTCTTTCTGGGAGAGATCCAATTTAACAAAAACAAATCTAAATCATATATTTTGTTAGTAAATAAATCATTTACTAACTCCTCTGCATTTTAACAATTTATGACAGGTACTTGCAGATATTATTGAGTCTCTAGCAGGGGCAATTTTTGTTGATTCTGAATATGATAAGAATGCCGTCTTTCAAAGTATACGTCCTCTTTTAGAGCCGTTGGTTTCTCCAGAAACGATGCCGCTCAATCCTGTAAGAGAGTTCCATGACTATTGCCAAAAAATGCAGTATATTATGAAGAAACCTGTGAAGTCCATCCAAAACGGTGTGGCTACCAGGACAATAGAGGTTGAAGCGAACGGGGTTGTCAAATACACATATACATCAACGGCTTCTAATAACGATACAGCAAAAAGATTAGCTTGCAAAGAATTTTTGAGGTTGTCGAAAGGAAACTAATCCGAAATGAAACTAGTTTTAATTTAAAGATGTTCCAGCATACATATAACTTCAAAGACATTATGAATATTTGTGTTGTAGTATTGGGATTTATAATATTCTTGGATAACCATAAGTCTTGTCACATTCAAAGTTATGTAGTTGTCATTCTATTCTACTATCATGTCACACATAGGCATCTTATATATATGTCAGGCAAGCACTCTGACAAGAGAATTCATGTTCTAATGTACTTCAGTTTGTGTCTTAGATGAACACACAATTTATAGCCAGTTTTGTTCGTAATGTGAAAAAAAAAAGTTCGAAAACTAAGATCCAATCTGTAAACTTGGATTGTATTCTTAGGAAAGTGTTTGGGATTAAATCTGTAAACTTGGATTGTCATTTTTTAAATCAGGCGTTTTCATTTTATTACACACTTTTTTCACCCAAGATTCTTCTTTAACTTGGCAATAAAATTTAATTCATATTCTTACTTTTCTAAATAAAAAGATAGAGGCGTAAATCGAAAGTATGATGGAATTTTGGGGTGTAATTCAGCTTTAATTAACCCAAGATTCTTCTTTAACTTGGCAATAAAATTTAATTCATATTTTTACTTTTCTAAATAAAAAGATAGAGGCGTAAATGGAAAGTATGATACAAGTTTGGGGTGTAATTAAGCTTTAACTCCGGTTAAAGCATTTTCCTAATCTTTCGTTCCCAAAGAACTTTTCAGGGCCCGCTTCTCTCTCTCTCTCTCTCTCTCTGTCTCTCTCCCCCTAACTTTATATGAACCTTACAGACGAAGTGGCTTCCTCAACAAGTTTTTAAATATGGACTATTCAGTGTCCTTTAAAATTCCAAAGTAAAGACACACCTTCTCTGTTACACTTACATTTGCCTACAGTTTTCAGATTCTCTGTCTTTCTAGTTAAATCTTAGTCTCTTCCCAAAGATCACAATTAGGCTCTTCTTGGTCAGTTTCTGTAAGTCCCGCCCCACTTTCTTTAACTTAACTGTTGGCTTTAACACGCCGTTTGTTTCTTTGCAATTTGGGCACCGATTCGAATTTGTTGTCCTTTATGTTTTAGTTACTCTTTAAACGAATGGGTTTGTTTTTGTTTTGTGAATGATGCAGGGAGAAACTATGGAGCCAATTAACATTGAGATAGACGGAACCCAACAACAATCTGCTGCTGCTCTTCTTGTGGAAGAAGCGACACAAGAGCTTGGTAACTTCTCTAACCTCTGTCCATGCCTTGACTGCCTCTTATAAGTTATACAACACATACTTTTGCTTAAAATTCTTTCCATTTTTGTTCTTTTTACAATTTTTTCTGGTACATAGATTTCTTTGTCATTTCTAGTTGCCATGTGTGCAGCAAGTGAGCCTTATGATGATGAACAACCCAGTTATGTACCACCTGAGCTTGTCAAACCTTGGTGTTCAAATGATGCTAGTATATTGTATCATTGCTACTTAATTCAGATGAAGCCGAATTTTTGTTCTGATATTCCTGTTAATGATATCGTGCTTGGCATGAGGAGCGAACTTGACTGCGATGTTGCAAATATGAATTTTGATTTGGGAGTTGGCAAGGGTACTATAACAGTAAACATTAAAAAGGCGGCAGAGATTCATCTTAGTTCAGAGCAAGTAATGTTTCCTGAATTTTATTACTTTTTTAGTATAATACAAGAAAATAAATTAACAGTTTAACTTGTTTCTTTAATTTTATTTGTCAGATTCTTCAATGCAGACGGTTCCAAATCACAATTTTTCGAATTCTAATGGATCACAATTTGCAAAAGTTGGAAGAAGTTTTAGAAAGACTTAGTGTGGGACAAAATCTTGAGGTTGAATCAATTGATTACCTTTTGCTCCCAGCAGCAAGAATGCACCAGAAACCTTTCATCATTGATTGGGAATGTGTTATGTCTGTGCCGTTTAGATCTGAAGAAAATTCTGAGTATCACGTAGATTCTTCTCCACCCAACAATTGTTCTCGTGTTCTACATACCAAAAATGGTATTGTTTGTACTTGCAGGATCCAGAATTCCTTGGTCTATACCCCTCATACTGGTCTCCTGTATTGCATCACTGGTTTGTTGGATGACTTGAATGGGAACTCACTTCTGAGACCTAGGCGCAGGAGAGCTCATAGCTACAAGACGCACTATGAAAAGAAGTATATTCTTGTATCATATACCTCTATAATTTGCATGTGTCATCTTTGGATTTTAGTGATCATGTGTATCCAAAGAAAGGACATCATGAAATATTCAAAGTAGTTTCTGTTTCTATTGGATGAAATGTTGTTTCTTGTGCCATTAGGGCAGTATTTACGTATGTGGAGTGTGTTTTCTCTTGTATGCAATCCATTTATAAGTAACTTGAATCATTCTCTTGTTTCAGGCATGGGATCAAGTTGCGTTTTGATCAGCAGTTATTGCTCAAGGGGAAACACATTTTCAAAGTACAAAATTATCTTCAGAGTTGCAGACAACAGACAGAAAAAGGTCTGATTTTCTAACTTCCTTTAGATAAGGAAGCCTAGTTTCATTTAATTGTTCGGTATGTTTTCTGGTCATCTTTGCAGTCTTGTCTTTTGAATGAAAATTGTGATCAATAATTCATAACCCATTTCTAATATATCATAATGCGGTTTGGAGATGCGTTGAGTTTTTAGAGTCTTTCTTGTCGTCCCGTTTGCTATTGTATAATTAGAGGAAAGGGGAGTGCACATGCTTGCTATTGCTTCAAAGGTTGCCTGAATTGTTGAAATTTAAATATTGCGTTTTTATCACTTTGATTAATTAATTGCTATTCAGTGGATTAGGTGTGATGAATTTATTTGCTGATTTTACAATACTTTCTTTGCAGATTCAAGTCGTATATCTGTTGAATTGCCGCCTGAACTTTGCTCTATAGTCATGTCGCCTTTATCAGTCAGCAATTTATATTCATTCTCCTTTGTTCCATCCATCATGCATCGTCTTGAATCTTTACTTCTTGCTGTCAACTTGAAAAGGATGGTTTTGGATCGTTGCACTGAAAATGTTACTATTCCAACCATTAAGGTATGCTACATTTGTTCACAGGACAAGGTATTATGCTATATTTTTCATCGAGACGGCACATTTCTGTGCCCAGGTGCTTGCTGATATTTGTATAGTGAATTTCTTTTTCTTCTTTTTTTCCCCCTTTAAGTTGATGAAAATGAATGTCACGCTAGGTTGTTTTACATGACACCTCTTTGAATTTACTCAGGATGACCCCATCCCTCTGTTTTCCTTATAAAATCCTCTATGTTTTCATGATACAACTTAGATAATTGATTATTGTTTGTGGTAAAGGCTTCAGTGGCATCATAAAGCGGTTATCCGTGATGGCTCTACGACCTTCTTGTTGTCATAGTATGTATGGAATGAGTGTGATGAAGCAAGGTTTGAGTAATACATCTTCTTTTTTATGATAAACAAATTTTCATTCAATGAAAAAGAGAGTAAAAAAGAACAGAGGACAAGGTGTCCTCTGGCCTATAAGAACTGATGACCAATTTCTAGAGAAATTTAAATCAGCCACAAAAAACTACATCAAAATGGCAGAGACAAATTAACAAGAGTCTAAGACACAACAGCTTTCCAATCAGACAGTATAATAGAAAAGGAATAGTCCCAAAACTCTGGAGATATCTGAGCCCATAAAGATTTTCCGGATCAGACTCTGCCCCCACAAACTATCCAGTTTGAGTAGATAATGTATCAGTGAGTTGATGCAGTCTTTAGATCAGCAAGTTTTTGTATTTTTCAACTCAAATATGGCTTATAGTTCCGTTCTCTTTTTTATTGGCAACTTGTATCAATTGTAGTCGTAGTGTTGTTGTCAACTTCTAAATGGAACATGACTCCAACTCTTCTCTCTTTTTTTCATACATTATGCAAGTGATTATTTGTCTTATATCCTTGCTTTTTTGTGGTTCTGAGCTTTACATCTGAGTTTGTTCTACATCAATATGTATTGCTAGGTCTTGGAAGCTATTACCACAAAACATTGCCAAGAGAACTTGCATTTGGAATCCTTAGAGGCTCTTGGAGATTCATTTCTCAAGTATGCTGCAAGTCAGCAGCTTTTTAAAACCTATCAAAATGATGATGAGGGCGATCTTACTAAAAAGAAGGAAAAAATAATTTCTAATGCTGCCCTTTGCAAGCTTGGATGTGACTGCAAACTTCCGGTAGCATTTCTTTATTCTATGTATTTTTCGTGTTTTAGATCTTGTCATGCTCATGAATCTGGCTGAAAGCTGCATTCGGATTGTTACCATTATCATTTTAGAACTTTTTCTATTTACTTTCAATGCTTTTTATCTAAAGTTTCAATGCTTTTGTATTGTAGGGCTTTATTCGCAACGAGTGTTTTGATCCAAAAAAGTGGATTATACCTGGAGATTATTCTGGAAGTTCTTTCTTAAATGAGAAGTTGCCTTTTAATGAAAAAAACATCTACATTAAGGGAACAAGGAAGGTAAAAGGTAAAAGGGTTGCTGATGTAGTTGAGGCACTAATTGGTGCATTTCTTAGCACAGGTGGTGAAATAGCTGCCATATATTTCATGAATTGGGTTGGTATAAAGGTGGATTTATTCCATATACCTTATGAGAGGCACTTCCAAGTGCAGCCAGAGAAGCTCATTGATGTCAGACATTTAGAATCCCTGCTTAACAACTATTCCTTTCGTGATCCTTCTCTTTTACTGGAAGCACTAACCCATGGTTCTTACATGCTTCCTCAGATTCCAGGATGTTATGAGGTACATGCAAATGCAATTATGCAATGACAATGAAATTTATTGCATGCATGTCTACTGGGTAAAATGTTAATTGTATGGTACATCCTAACTCATAACAGTGCTTCTTTTGCGTTGCGGAAATACAAAACTCAGTTCATTTCACTTCCAAGTTTGTTCGATTCTGTCTCATTGATATGCCATCTTTTACGTAAATATTCTTTGTTGTGCAGCGGCTTGAATTTCTTGGCGATGCAGTGTTGGATTATGTTATCACTGCTCATTTGTACAATAAGTATCCTGGTCTGTCACCAGAACTTTTAACTGATATGAGGTCTGCTTCTGTGAACAACGTTTGTTATGCACGAACTGCTGTGAGAGCTGGATTACACGAACACATTCTTGCTTCGGACAGTGTCCTCCACACTGATATTGCCAACACTGTTAACAATTTTGGGAGCTTATCTGCAGAATCAACTTTTGGATGGGAATTTGAGACGTACTTCTCCGAGGTTGGTTTTTAATGCTTATTATGCTCATATCATTTCTCTGCTACACTTTTTCCTTCGGAAGTTTCACTAATACACCCAAAATAGGGGCTGAAATTATAAAAAAACCTAACATGAAAAACACTTTAGAAACACACCCAAAACCCATTTATTAAACACACTCAAAACCCATTTATAAACACACCAAAAAAATATACAATTGTTGATTTTTGGTGTGTTTCTATATTTTAAACAGTGATGGGTTATTTTTATAAATTCATGTCTAGGATTGGGTTTATTTATAAATTTGTATTAACAAAATCATTTACTAACTCTTCTGGGGAGATCCAATTTAACAAAACAAATCTAAATCATATATTTTGTTAGTAAATAAATCATTTACTAACTCCTCTGCATTTTAACAATTTACAACAGGTACTTGCAGATATTATTGAGTCTCTAGCAGGGGCAATTTTTGTTGATTCTGAATATGATAAGAATGCCGTATTTCAAAGTATACGCCCCCTCTTAGAGCCGTTGGTTTCTCCAGAAACGATGCCGCTTAATCCTGTAAAAGAATTTCATGACTATTGCCAAAAAATGCAGTATATTATGAAGAAACCTGTGAAGTCCATCCAAAACGGTGTGGCCACCAGGACAATAGAGGTTGAAGCAAATGGGGTCGTCAAATACACACATACATCAACAGCTTCTAATAACGATACAGCAAAAATATTAGCTTGCAGAGAATTTTTGAGGTTGTCCAAAGGAAACTAATCCAAAATGAAACAAGTTTGAAAGATGTACAAGCATACAGAGCTTCAAAGGCATTATGAATATTTGTGTTGTAATATTGGGATTTATAATAACTCTTGATTAACCATAAGTCTTGTCACATTCAAAGTTATGTAATGATCGATCATTCTATACTACTATTCTGTCACACATAGGCATCTTATATATATGTTTCATTCATAATGCCGAAAAAATGTTCAAAAACTAACATCTACTTGGATTGTATTCCTATAATTTTTTTTAAACAAAGGAAAGTGTTTGATTTTTTTTTGCTTTGGTGTATGTGTATGCAATTTCTTCGTGGGTGGTTTGCGTGTCGTCATAATCCGTCGATAACAAGATCTCTTAGAATAACAGGACTTGATACCTTGAGGCAAATCTGAAACGGGCTCTTCAGACCCAGTTTGGGATTGCTGTCACTTTTAAAAAAAGTTGCTTCTGTTGTGCTTTGAAAATAATTAGCTGTAAAGTAAAGCAGCTCCGTGTTTGGTAAACAATATTTTTAAAGTGCTGTTAGTACAAAAAGCAGTGTCAAAACCGTTTGGTAAGTTTTAATATAAAATTGTTGTAACTATGAATAATGACTAAAATAGACATGATGTTAAAAGTGTTATGTACTAATCATGTGGTAGTAGTGGTAGTGATTGAGTGGAGGTGGTGGTGGTAGGGATGGCGCTTGTGGAGGTGGTGGTAGTGACAGCATGGTGGTGGAGGTGGCAGCATGGTGGTGGTGTTGGTTCTGGAGGTGGTGGTGGATGTGGAGGTTTTGAAGGAGGTGGTGGTTGTGGTGGTGGTGGTGGTGGAGGAGGTGGTAGTGGTGGTGGTGGCGGTGGCGATGGCGGTGGTTGTGGAGGTAGTGAATGTGGTGGTGTAAGTGGTGGAGTTGGATGTGGAAGTGGAGGTGGTGTTATTTTTTAAAATGAATGATGGTATTTTGGGAATTAAAAAAATTCATTAAAGGTTCATCTCTGCTTCTTTTGAAAGCAGCTTGAAAAGCAACTCATAGCCTGCTTTTCAAAGCTGCTGTCAAAAGGCCACTGCTTTTAAAATAATCGAGATATTTTATTTTTACCAAACACCTAAAACTGCTTAACTTTAAAGTGAAGCAGGTTTTTGGCGAAAAAAAGCAATCCCAAACGGGGGCCTCAGTGATGTCCATTGAAGTGGAATCGTTTATCTTTCTTCTTGTTCATGTTCTTCGCCATTGCTTTGGATATGGAACTGAAAAATCGTATAAAAAATCATACAAATTAACAATACCCGTGAAGGAATAAGAGAGGTATGTAAAGGGAGAGAGGAAAAAAAACTTACATGAGTACAACTTCGAAGAAGAGCAGAGTCGATGTTGAAGGAAACGAGAGAGAGAGAGAGAGGCGTTCTAGGGCTCGGACTTGCGTGTTTTGTTTAGCGAGCTCGCTATTTTGCGAACCATGTTTCAGGCTCGCTGGGTTGGACGAGCGAGGCATTTTTTACTGTTGAACTATACAATCTCATTTTTAGCCTCTCTTTTTACTAAATATGGGTTTTAAGTGCTAATTAACCCAGTCCAGTCTAACGAGGCTTACCAAACATGTCCTTTTACAGTTTTAGGATTCTCTCTGGCTCTGCTTTTAGTCTTTTCACGAAAATCACAATCTTAGTCTCTTCTTGGATCAGTTTCTGTAGGTCCCTCCCCTTTCTTTAACTTTACTGTTGGCTTTAACATGCCGTTGGTTTCTTTGCAATTTGGGCACCAATTCGAATTTGGTTGTCCTTTAATTTTGTTGTAGTTACTCTAATGTTTTTGAGATATGGTATGAGAAAGCTCTTTAGAGAAATGGGTTTGTTTTTGTTTTTGCTTTGGTGAATGATGTAGGAAGAAACAATGGAACCAATTAACATGGAGATATATGGAACCCGACAATCTGCTGATCCTCTTGTGGTGGAAGAAGCCACACAAGAGCTTGGTAACTTCTCTAAACTCTGCCCATGCCTTGACTGCCTCTTATAAGTTATATTATACCTATAAAATTATTAGTATGCAACACTTACTGTTGCTTAAAATTCTCTCCATTTTGGTTATTTTACTAATGTTTATGGCTCATAGATTTCTTTTGCATTTCTAATTTCCATGTGTGCAGGCGGTGAGCCTTATGATGATGAACAACCCCGTTATGTCCCAGCAGAGCTTGTCAAACCTTGGTGTTCAAATGATGCTAGTGTATTGTATCATTGCTACTTAATTGAGATGAAGCAGAATTTTTGTTCTCATATTCCTGTTAACAATGTTGTGCTTGGCATGAGGAGCGAACTTGATTGCGATGTTGCAAATATGAATTTTGATTTGGTAGTTGACAAGGGTACCATAACAGTAAACTTTAAAAAGGCCGCCGAGATTCATCTTAGTTCAGAGCAAGTAATGTTTCCTGAATTTTATTACTTTTTTAATATGATATGATACAAAAAATAAATTAATGGTTTACCTTGTTTCTGTAATTTTATTTGCCAGGTTCTTCACTGCAGAAGGTTCCAAATCACAATTTTTCGAATTCTAGTGGATTGCAATTTGCAAAATTTGAAAGAAGTTTTAGAGAGACTTAGTTTGGGACAAAATCTTGGGGTTGAATCTATTAATTACCTTTTGCTCCCGGCAGCAAGAATGCACCAGAAACCTTTGATCATTGATTGGGAATGCGTTATGTCTATGCCATTTCGATCTGAAGAAAATTCTGAGTATCACATAGATTGTTATCCACCCAACAATTGTGCCGGTGTTCTACGTACCAAAAATGGTATGGTTTGTACTTGCAGGGTCCAGAACTCCTTGGTCTATACCCCTCATACTGGTCTCCTGTATTGCATCACTGGTTTGTTGGATGACTTGAATGGAAACTCACTTCTGAGACCTAGGGGCAGGAGAGCTCGTACCTACAAGACGCACTATGAAGAAAAGTATATTCTTGTATCATATACCCCTATAATTTGCATGTGTCATCTTTGAATTTTAGTGATCATGTGTATCCAAAGAAAAGAACATCATGAAATATTCAGTGTAGTTTCTGTTTATGGTTTGCTGAAATGTTGTTGTTTGTGCCATTGAAGCAGTATATACTACATGGAGTGTGTTTTATGTTATATTTAAGCCATTTATGAGTTGAATGGTTCTCTTGTTTCAGGTGTGGGATCAATTTGCGTGTTGATCAACAGTTATTGCTCAAGGGGAGATACATTTTCAAGGTACAAAATTATCTTCTGAGTTGCAGGCAACAGAGAAAAAAAGGTCTGATGTGGAAGATGCTTTGAGTTTTTTAAAATATTTTTGTTGTCCCCTTTGCTATTAGAGGAAAAGGGAATGCATATGCTTGTTATTGGTTTAAAGGTTTCCTGAATTGTGAAAATGTAGCCTTTTTATCACTTTGATTTATTAATTGCAATTTAGTGCATTAGATATGATGAATTTAAATGCTGATTTTGTAAGGTTTAGAACAACTACATTCACTAAAGTTTTCTAGGATATAATTGACAATGCATTTTGATTTGTTAAAAAGCACAGAGTCATGCAATCTGCATTGACATTTTAATTATGTGTTAAAATGAGGTAGAAGTAGAAAGAATCAGTGGGGGGATTTCATTCTTTCCGTTTGGTCTAGTTCTTGTTTTTCTCATATTTCATTATTATTGAGTAAGAAACTTAATCTATGTTTTCTTTACAGAATCAAAGCCTGTTGAATTGCCGCCTGAACTTTGCTCTATAGTCATGTGACCTTTATCAATCAGCAATTTATATTCTTTCTCATTTGTTCCATCCATCCTGCATCGTCTTGAATCTCTACTTCTTGCTCTGAACTTGAAGAATATGATTTTGGATCATTGCACAGAAAATGTTACTATTCCAACCATTAAGGTATGCTACAATTGTTCACAGGACAAGGAACTATGCTACATTTAATGTTTCTACATCAAGACGGCACATTTCTGTGCCCAGGTGCTTGCTGATATTCTGTAGTAAATTTCCTTTACTTTTTTTCTTTTAAGTTGATGAAAATGAGTGTCAGGTTAGGTTGTTTTCCATCAACTCTTTGAATTTGCTCAGGATAACCCCCTCCCTCTTTTTTCATTCAAATTCCTATATGTTTTCATGATACAAAAGTGGTTATCCTTGCTGGCTCTATGATCTCTTCGTTGTCATAGTATTTATGGAATGCGTGTGATAGAGCATAGTTTGAGTAATACATCTTTCAGAGGACAAGGTGTTGTCTGGCCTAGAAGACCTTATTAGCAATCTCTAAAGAAATTCAAATCTGTCACCAAAAACCTACATCAACATGGCACAGACAAATTAAAAAGAGTCAACAGCTTTCCAAAAACCTACATCAACAGGGCACATTGTCCAGATGATTATTTATATCTATACCCTTGGTTTCTTGTGGTTCTGAACTTTACATCTGAGTTTGTTCCATATCCAATATCTGTTGTAGGTCTTGGAAGCTATTACAACAAAAGGATGCCAAGAGAACTTCAATTTGGAATCCTTAGAGACTCTTGGAGATTCATTTCTTAAGTATGCTACAAGTCAGCAGCTTTTTAAAACCTATCAAAATAATGCTGAAGGCCTTCTTAGTGGACAGAGGGAAAAAATAGTTTCTAATCCTGCCCTCTGCAAGCTCGGATGTGACCGCAAACTCCCGGTAACAGTTCTTTATTCTGTTTACCTTTAGTGTTTTAGATCTTGTTATTATCATGGATCTGGCTGAAAGCTGCCTTCAGATTGTTACCGTTATCATTTTATAAATTTGTTCTGTTTTCTTTCAGTGTTTTTTATCTAAAGCTTCCTGCATGACCTCTCTACCATTGTTTTTGTATTGTAGGGATTTATTCGTAACGAGTGTTTTGATCCAAAAAAGTGGACTATACCTGGAGATTATTCTGGAACTTCTTTCTTAAGTGAGGACTTGCCTTTTAATGAAAGAAACATCTACATTAGGGGAAGAAGGAAGGTAAAAGATGAAACGGTTGCTGATGTAGTTGAGGCACTAATTGGTGCATTTCTTAGCACAGGTGGTGAAATAGCTGCCATATATTTCATGAATTGGGTTGGTATAAAGGTGGATTTAGTCCATATACCTTATGAGAGGCACTTCCAAGTGCAGCCAGAGAAGCTCATTGATGTCAGACATTTAGAATCCCTGCTTAACAACTATTCCTTTCGTCATCCTCATCTTCTACTGGAAGCACTAACCCATAGATCTTGCATGCTTCCTAAGATTCCAGGATGTTATGAGGTACATGCAAATCCAATTACGCAATGAGAGTTAAATTTGTCACATGCATGTATAATGTGTAAAATGTTAATTTGTATGGCACATCCTAACTCATAACAGTGGTTCTTTGCTTGTGTGGAAATACAAAATTCAGCTCATTTCACTTCGAAGTTCGTTCAATTATATCTCTTGATATGCCATCTTTTACATAGATAAATTTACTCCCTAAAGAAGCAGTTTAGCTTAAAAAGTCTCTTAGATCCCATGATGCACTTAATTTATTATTGGTACTTTCTCATGGGCTGAAATCTTTCAAGCCCTATTTGTACTTGGCTCATCAGAAGTATGTTCTTTGTTGTGCAGCGGCTAGAATTTCTGGGCGATGCAGTGTTGGATTATGTGATCACTTTTTATTTGTACAATAAGTATCGTGCTATGTCGTCACCTCGATTTCTAACTGATATGAGGTCTGCTTCTGTGAACAATAAATGTTATGCACTATCTGCTGTGAAAGCTGGATTGCACAAACATATTCTTGCTTCGGATAATGTCGACAACAATATTGCCAATACTGTTAACAATTTTGGGAGGTTATCTATTGAATCAACTTTTGGATGGGAAATCGAGACATACTTCTCCGAGGTTGGTTTTTAGTACTTATCATGCTCATATTATTTCTCTGCTACACTTTTTCCTTCTGTTTTTTTTTGCTCCTACAATGTTCTTTTTAGGGATTCTAGGACTGCAAACATAGGGTAGGTAGAGGTGGAGATGGAAGAGGTATTTGGATCAAGAAAAGATTGTATGGTGTGAGTTTAGCTTGAAGTTTGGTACAGGTGCTTTAACTGCTAGTCCATTGCTTCTCTTACTCAACTAAGCCTATGCCTCTAAAATATTGGGGTAAGTTACATGGATCATATTTTTAACTTTTTTTCTTATGAAAAAAATATTTTGAACTATTTCTCAGCATGAACTCTCCATCTCCAACTCATCTATAGTATCTATATCTTTTCTTTACCATTTCTTTTGATTCTATCATTGTTACTGTGTTTCTACCTTCACCTTATTGCCTTCATCAACTTGAATTGACTCCATTGGCTTTATTGTTACTTGCAAATCCAAATCATATAATTTAACTTAGTTTATAACAGGTACTTGCAGATATTATTGAATCTCTAGCAGGAGCAATTTTTGTTGATTCTGAATATGATAAGGATATCGTCTTTCAAAGTATATGTCCTCTCTTAGAGCCCTTGGTTACTCCAGAAACAATGCCGCTCAATCATTTAAGAGAGTTCAAGGACTATTGCAAAAAAATGCAGTATATTATGAAGAGACCAGTCATCTCCACCCAAAATGGTGTTGTTACCAGGACAATAGAGGTTGAAGCTAAGGGGGTCGTCATATACAAACATACATCAACAGTATCTAATAACAAAACAGCAGAAATAGTAGCTTGCAATTTGTTTTTGAGGTCGTTGAAGGAAACTAATCTAGAATGAAATAAGTTTGAAGATGTTCCAGCATATTTGTTTATAGTATTTGGATTTATATTAACTCTTGGATAACCATAAGTCTTGTCAGATTCAAAGTAATGTATGTTTTGTTGCTATAGTTAAGCAATTGTCATACTATACTGCTATTATGTGATAATATGGAAATACCCAACACAATTTATGTCCTCTTTTCATGTTTTAATTTGCAAATTTTTCAATCAACTCACACCGATAGTCCAAAGAAACTATTATGTAACACTACTTACATATTGTCATTCTTTATGGAACAACTCATCCATGCCCCTTCGTTCATTGGATCATATTTATTTCCACATGAAGTTAGTCATAGTGAGTATTGAAACCCCAATTGATTTCGAAATCCATAATTTCGGGATAAATACCCATTCCAATCCACTTTTTGCGAAATTTCGGATGTCGGATTTGATTTGGGATTGTCAAAGTTCAAAATTGGCCGGAATCAGAATTTCCTATCCAACTTGCACCCCTACACTATAATTTATCATGGACACCGTCAAGAGCCAGTTAATCTGGGCAGCAAGTTCCTTGCTGTTACCAAACCCGTTTCAAATTTAAGGCTTATAAAAGGTGGAACTCTCTCAAACGCTACCATCACAGAAGTTCAAAGATTTACAACACCACCTGTATAAGGATTTATGAACTTTTATGTAGAATTTTTGACAAAACTGACGTCAAAATTGGCGTTTTGAAACCCCTTCCCCCCAACAATAATACGTATGAACACAAATAAACCTCAAGGCAAAGTACAGAGGAAATAAAAAGAATTGTATTACATCATCCATTTTCCAAACTTCATAACATGATGACTTACATCTGCATACGGTATACTTTCTGCCTTTTAAATGACGCAATAAACTACAGCTTACTATTTCAACTGAGGTTTTATACTATGGACATGCCTGCTCATTATGAAGTTGTGGAGTCATCCAACCAAAGAGCTGCTTCTAGTTGTCATTCCTGTAAAATGTTTAAAGGCAGACTGATGAGTTTCTATTCATACTTTAGAGCAGGATATGCCCTATTTTGTCCAATCTAAAACCAACAATGGTTGGGATATTATTTTTGTCCTACTTCCTTAGCTTGTTCTTTACATGGATTTCTGAGCTTTACTAAGAAAAATGTATATAATCTGTAAATGGAAATGAAAACTTGAAGGAGAATTTTTTTTTATACCTTAAATCAGTGAGTAGCTTGTGGCTTGAATGGGTTTGGAATTCCATTGCTTGGAATGACTGTTTCGAAAGCCTCTACAAGCAGTGATACTTTTCTTTTGCGAGCTGGAGTTAATCTGGAAACAGCCTGTTGAAGGGCATAATCAAGCATCCATTCCTCAGAATTCTTCCTCCCATCCATGTTCTGATGCTTGAGATGAACTTTCTCTGCTTCCAGGTCAGGCTCCAAGGGCAGATATCGCGGCCCTCGTGGGTTGAACTTCTTTACATTTTCCAATGCCTTGATAAATCTATTAAGCAGGATCATTTTCTTCAGATTGCTCCAGTTCTTTGACATTTTCTGGTTAGGTTTCTCTTCCACCTTAGCAACTGCTTTTTCTTCTTCTTGGATGGTAGCATTATCAGATTTTGCAGAGCTGGCAGAGTTTGTGAAAGTTGAGATGAAAGATTTCCCTTGTATGTCAACTTGATTTTCTGGAGGTTCGTGGTCTGGAAAGCCTCTAGTGATTGACTTATTATCATCTGATTCATCTTGGTTCTCTGGAAGAACAATGTCATCAATCGCTTTCTCTACTTGCTGCTTGATAGCTTCAATATGCCTGAGTTCAACCTTTTTGTTGTCTATTCCAGGCAATCTGTTGGCATCATCTGCTTGTTCCTCTTCTGCTCTATCAAGGAATTCGTCTCCATCTTTTGCATCAATACTTGATACCATGTGCTTATATACTAAGAACCATAAATTTGTGTATTTCTGCTTTTCCAATTGGGTTTCATGTGGTGCACTAGTATCGCATTCCAAATGAGATTCTTCAAGGGGAGGAAATCCTTCAACGAGTCCAGATTCTGGCGTAGCTCCTCCCCTCACTTCTTCTCTTGCTGCCATTGGCTCCTCAGTTGGTTTTATGGAACCTAAAGAGACCACCATGTTATTTGCTGTTGAATCCACATGATTTTCAGTGATCTGTTCCTCAGATGAATCAAATTTGTCATCGGTTTCGATGAATAACTTACTGGTTTCCAATTTAATGTTTTCCACCTTGGAATTCAAGTTGCTAAGTTCCAAACTTGTGATTGAAGTAACTTCTTTGGAGGCTTCTTCAACTGTATCATTTACCAGACCTTCATAAATGGTGCTACCATGTTCATCTTGCTTTAAGGAGCCTTCATCACATGACCTGGGATCTTTGGTTTCTGATAAAGAAACATTGGTAAAATCTATTATATCGTTCCCAACAATGGCTTTGTCATCCCCATCATCAGTGTTGAGAAAAACAATTTGATTCTCCTTCTGATCTTCATTAGTGGCTTTAGGAGCAGCTATATCCCGTTCCGTTTTAATGAAACAATGGTCTGTACTTGGTTCTTTGAGCTTAGAAAAATTCACTGGACTTTGCTGGTGTTCCACTTGAACATCCCTAGCCTGAGCTGGATACTCATTGAAACTTTTCTCAGAGCCGGACATATTCCCACCCAAGATTTCAGCAGAAATTCTAGAATCACTTTCTTTACCCGTGTGATCAGCACTTGGAACTGAAAAACCATTGCAGACTTGAAGATCTGCTTCAGTGGATTCTATTGCACTGGACCTGTGGCTAGTTTTAATTTCCGGAAATGGGAGAACTGTTTCAAAAGCTTCTACAAGCAATGCAACTCTTCTTTGTTGAGCTGGAGGTAGTTTAGATATAACCTGTTGAAGTGCATAATCAAGCATCCATTCCTCAGCATTCTTTCTCTCTTCTGTTTTCTGCTGCCTTAGATTGACTTTTTCTGCTTCTGAATCAGGATCCAAGGGCAGGTATTCTGGTTTCTGGTAATTGAGGTTCCTCACCTTTTCAACTGCCTTGACAAATCTCTTGAGGAGAATGAATTTTTTCAGACTGCTCCAGCTCTTGGGTGTTTTCTTGTCTGTCTTATCTCCTTTTGACACTGTTTTCTCTTCTTTCGGGGAACTAGTAGTTTCAGCTTTGGCCCATGTTTCTTCTGGATTTTGTACCTTACTGTCTTCAGAAGAATGACTGGAATGTGAGGTGCTCTGCTCTCCACACTCATCTTGACTCTGCCCCGATGCTTCCTGGTCTGAACTTATGCCATTAGTAAAGGATTGATCATCATACACGCAGTCCAGAACTTCCGGGAGAAGGATGTTATCGAAAGCATCCTGTACCAGCTTAAAGGCATCATGGTGGCAGAGCTCAATGTTTTGGTCTCCTCCACTGTGATTTATCAAAGCTGTATGCTCATCTGTTTCAGTAAAACTTAAATTGTTGGTTTCAAATACATTGTTGGTACCATCTACTTGCTCTTCCTTGTCCAGTCCACCAAGAGAGCGCTGGTTTTCAACACTTGCAGAAGGTCCTTTTACTGCATGCTTGTACATCAACTGCCACATTCGGATATATTTGTGATCTTTTGACTGTACACTGTGTGCCACTGCCACATTAGTGGCCTTTTTGGGATTAGATTCTGGCTGCACACTTCCATTTTTGTTCTCATTAGCAGCAATTTTTTCCTCCAATGCTTGGCAATCAGAAGAAGAGATTTCATTGTGTTCATTATCACTTATTGATTCAACAACTTCATCAGGGATTGCTCTTTCCAATTGATGAGGTGGTTTGACAGCTGCACAATCATCGAACGCCGTACTTTTTTCAATCGATTTAGGATCAATATTGCTCAGGCTATTTGTGCAAGTGGATTGATCACCTTCATTGTGGTTAGATACAGCAATCTTTTCATCTTTCCTGTCCGTGTTGGTGGCTTCAAAATCTGTTCCAGAGCAACAACATTCCGGACTTAAACCATCAGGTGCAGAGAGGGACACCGAAGCATGCTGTTCTACAGTGTGCAGTCTCTCCTCTAAATCTATATGAGGAATTGAAGTTTCACCAAGCAGCTTTTCAGAAATATCTGAAAAATCATCATTGTTTTCACCATTTTCACTGTAAGTACCTATGCCACTTGGCTTGGCTTCTGGTTCAGGCTCAGCATAGATTTCTAAAGACATTTCCCTGCTCAATTTTCTACCACAGGAGAGGTCGTTTCATGAACTACACCATGTCCATTGCATACCATCTGATTTGTCTGATCCTCCTTAATCTTGCCAGACCTTTTCACCCTGACCGGGGGTTGAGTTGCCGGTGTCACGCTCCTCTGAGTCTTCAACATGCGCCTCCTTATCGAAATGAGGCGCTTGAGTGGAGGTACACTGGCATGCCGATGGCCATGAAGAGAGCAATAAGTGAATGGACAAACCTTCGTGCATGAAATTCCCTCAGATTCAGTTCCCTCTGCCTGAAGACCCCGGATGTCAGGGGACTTAGAACCTTTGAGTGCCGAAGAACATGTAGCTCTTTGTACACTCAAGTCTGGAAGTTGAGAGATTTGTTCAGAGTGTTTCCTCATGGAACACTTCTTGGATTTTGCTCTAGCCAATTTTGTTGAGGCATTCAAAGGTGACTTCTGACCAGCAGAAGCTGAGTTTGGCTTTGAAAATACTGATCTTTTCCCAGTCTCAATACTACTGCAAAAACTTGATTCAGAAGTATGAGGACTTGCCTGAAACTGTTTCTTTCTCCCATTGGAGCTGCAGGTCTCCTTTGAAAAGGTTGATGATGCTGAATCTGTATCACTGGATGAGATGGCAGAAACCCCAACATGCCCAGATTTCTTTTGTCTTGCAGATGGTCTTGAGTTCTCGGAATTTGCAGGGTTACCCGCCATTCTTGATTTCTTCAGATTATTCATTTGGGTTCCTCCAGAGCTTTTCCTCATCGAAGGGTTCTTGAATTTTAAGCTAGAAATTCTTGTCAAATTCCTTACAGGCTTAAAACTAGACCGCCTTGTTATTGTTCTTGTTGAATTCTACATAGAAACCAAAAAAGGCAAAAAGGGCAATCTTCAATTTCCTGCTATTTTCAGCAAAACACAAAAACAGAAAGCTAGGCTGAGAATTCAATATACTTGCCTGTAGATTCTCTGTACTTGTATCAAAACAGGTTGACATATCAGATGAAATTGATTGTGCTGCTGAGCTTGCTGCATCACTGCATACATGGTGATTATTGGATCTCTGCCTGGCCCTTCTTCTAGATGACTTCAGGCTTGGTGATTTTGAGAGCTTGATTGATCTCAAATTTTTCAATCTCTTCTGCAGCTCTTGTGCTCCTTGGCTTCTTCCATTCTGGTTTTGCAAAATGGATGAGTCAATGGCTATTGAAAACTTCTCAGAAATTTGGCTATCACCCAAATCATCTGCAACTTCAAGCTCCTTATCAATCATTTTTTCTTTTTCTGCTTTACTGGATTCAAATTTCTGATATGAATTTGGCTTAAGGTGTTTTGGAAGCAGAGTGGTTTTTTTTCTGAAATTTCTAATTGACTACAGTGACTGGTTTTTTGCTTCTAGTTTCTAACTTAATTTTAAATTTCAAGTACGTTCTCAAAACAATTAAATAAAATTCTGGTTTGAGTGGCAGCTCATTTTTGAAGATCAGACTTAGATTCCAGTCCGATTGACTTGGCCATTCTGACACATACCTTTCTTTATGTTGATAAAGAAAATTGATACATAACTAAAAGTCTTTGGTCAGAAAGACCAAAACTTCAACTAAAAAAAATACTGGTCAAAGAAGAACTTAATTGAAAATGGGAAACAATTGTAAGGAAGAAACCCTAAAACATCAAAGTAAACACTTGATTGTGATTTCTTGTAAACATGTAATGCTTTTGGAAAATTCTCATAAAACAAATAAAAAGATTGTGGACAGAGCACTTTAGCAAGAGTTCCAATCTTGCACTCTCCTTGTACTAATAAAAAAACAAATTAATAGATAAATAGATTAATACTTACCTGAAAGATATGATAGAAATAATATTCACAGTAATATGATTACTCTAGCGATATATTTGTAACTCAAGTGATGAAAAGAATTCACTCTTATATTTGCAATTGGAGATCACGATTGACTCGATTCTTCCTTTTCTAATATCGCTTGTATTAAAATACGAAAGTGGGGAAATGATTGATAAAAGTGCTGGAAAAAGTGATGGATACGGTGGAAACAGTAACATGCAAGCATGACTATTTAGACCTAAAAGCGTAATTTTGTCTCCCTAGCTGGGGGCCACTTAGTTGGAAGCCAGTGCTTGAGAACTAGATGCAATATTTTATGACAAAGATGGTTAGAGAGGACAAATATCTGTACTAATTAAACTTTAAACTTTAAACCCACCAAAAAAGGCCACATATCTGCGGCATTTATATATGTTTGTTAATTTATCTCAAGTAATTAAGGACTAACAAAATGGTTATATTAAATTTTGATTGCATCTCCAAATTAAGATTATATGCAAATTCAGAAGATTAGAGCAGATCTCTATGTTAATTGCATGGTTAGAAACCTCCCTAAGTATCCACGTATTTTTAAACTTTTCTCCTTGTTTTCTCTGAATTTGAATATTGTATGGTACAATTACTGGGACATGTGTGACTTGGAATATTTCTTCTTTGCGTTGATTTTTTATTTTATTTTTCAAATTAAGGATTAGCTAAATATTGTCTAAAAGACATGTAATGTATTACATACGAACCACAGTGAGGCTAGCTACAACTATATCTCAACCAAATCATAAATATATATGTCATCGCTATTTATGTGAATCAAACCTGAAACATCTTTCATCAAAGTGGAAACAAATGCTATTAAATTAAAAACTTGTTGACGTTAAACACAAAGACTAAACCATGAATTTTTCAGTGGGTGGACTAGTTAAATTTTTTAGCTTAAAATTTTTTTTTTTTTTTTTTTTTTTTTTTTATATAATAATCTTACTTTTGTAGTGTGAATCCCTAAAAATTTATTGGCATTAACTAAATAAGCTTCACAAATACGAAATGCAAAGTATAAATAATTCAGTTTCATTTATATATTAGTTGTACATACAAGAATAATAGAATTAGGTTAATATATTGTTCCGTTCTTGAAAGAGAATACAAATAAAATTGAGAAAATAATATTTTCCTAACGTGTTGTAGTTGATGGTGAGCCATATAGGCTTTTTTTTCTTATTCAAAACCCTTTTGTCAAAGGCAACAGATAATTTCACCCAAAAGAAAGGCAGGAGATAATTTCACCAAAAAAAAGGGCAGTAGAAATGGGGGTGAGATTTGTTATGTGATTTGGTATCTATATCACACACTCAAAAGTCTCACACAATACACCATTTAATGGAATACATTAAAATCAGTAAATTTCTTAATACCACAGTACTTTTCAGCTTCAAAAATCCATTAAGGTATGAGATACACCTCCTTTAATCTTCAAAACAATCCATTAAGATCTCAATTGGATACACCTCCTTAATTTCAACTTGTTCCAGCAACCACAAATATGGATGTCATCACCTGCAACATGTTATTATATAACAAACAAAGAGAAGAGTAAGTAAGAGTAAGTAAAGGATCCAGCAACGCCAAAACAAAAATACACATAACAACAACATAAGACAATAGCAAAACTAACAGAAATATCTTAGGGATATGAAGTCCATAAAATTCCTTGGGAACTATAACTAGATTTTCTAACCAATCAAAGTACGAAACAAAAAAAAAGGACAAAAGATTGATTTTAAATTTAGAGCCTCATCACATGACACTTGCAAAGACTAATATGCTATCCTTAAAAAAGCAACAAATTTATACGAAGACAATCAGCGCCATTCTGTAGCAGGCAAGTACTTTGCAAAAAATGAATTCCATTATGTGTTGCAGATGATATATAACTTGTATAAATATCAATACAAAACAATTTTTGCAGCCTTGAAAGTGATAGTCCCGGGGTGCTTATGGTTAAACCGTCTTTGTCAAAAGAACAAATCCATGCTATCGTTTGATCTCTCCAACTTTAGTCTTGTAGGGGCTTTTTCTTTCGACAGCTGCTACGGGTCTGGGTTGCCGTAAATAGCAAAATGGATGAAATTGTCCCTTGAGCCTGAGTTCAAAGATCAAGCCCCAAGAATGCTTCAAAAGGATAGAGATGCCTTAGGAAACACCTTGGTTACCTTCACCAACAAAAATAACAATAGCTTACAGATAAATTTTTGGCTTGGCATGAGAAGCTTGTGGCATGGGAGCTGAGCATTCATGAGTTTAGCACGAGAGAGAGAAATGGCTGCAATTTCCTATGAGAAACAGAGTTTTTAAGGCATGGGGGAAAGGATTCTAAGAGGATTCGTTGAGGAGAGAGAGGGAGAGAGAGATGAAGGCAATGAGTGTTTTTCTGGCAGCTTGACAGAGGCTTTGTCAAGTGTTAGAACAGCCTGCCAAGAGGGAAACTAAGGAGGAGGAAGATGAAATGAGCACGAAATTGCAGAGTTTCAGAGATGAGGGATGAAGCATGCTCTCTAGATGTGGGTTGTGATGATGGGTAGGAAATGCCTCTTTTTATAGGCGCTGGAAGCTATCATTTTCCAAGAAACCCTAATGGTTTCTATCTAATTTGGCCAAGTCTTTCCCTTCCTTTCTCCCTTCATCCTATTTTGGTGAAATCCACTCTGCCTATTTGCACAAAATCAGGGATTTTTGGGAGCTCAAGGCCCCCTTTCCTGCAGTTGTTTCAGTGGGAGACTCCTATTTTCAGCCATGTTCCTTCCTTCTTTTCTCCCCTCTTCTATGGCTAGACCTAATGGGGGAAAATAAATGGGTATGTACACTGGTTTGAAGGGTGTTTTGCTCAAGTATCCCTGGGTTTTTCTGATGACTTGCATTGGGTTTGTGTTCGGCCATGTGCTGGAGATTCCAGCCGCTTGCAGATGTGAGTGGCTTTTGGCTTTTGTCATGGTTTTGTCTCTAGCCATGTGCAGACTTTCAGATATTTTGTTGGTCACTTGGGCCATTCTTTAAGGTAATGAGCTAGTTCACTAAAGGGATGGGCCAACTTCCCTAAGTGATGAGCTATCTATTCTAAGGTAATGAGCTATTTTCTCTCCTTTATGCTTACCCACATATTTGGGCTCAAGAAATGGGCTTGAGTTTCGGGGATCCCAAACAGCCCAAAACTTCAATTTCTCGGCTCATCAATGGCCCTCATGAAAACTCATAACCATCAATACCACAACCCGTTCAGTAAGCCCCAGGCATTAACGCGGCTTGGGCCCACTAAAGCTTGTAGCGTGGCGTGTTGCTTATTTGCTTGGCGTGACACGTGTGCAAGTGTATATGATGAACTCTTAGGCACCCAAATTGGGTTTCTTCCCAAGTTATGTGTCGTACTGGGCCGGGAATTTATTTGGACTGAACCGTGGATTTTTTTGGGTCTCAACATGTCTCTAATCTAGAAAAACTACACTAGATAAAACTCTTAACACCAAATTTTAAAATAAGTTTACCTAAACAAGGAAAGAGGCCATGGAGGTCGGGAGGGAGCTTTAATGACAACCACTTTGCTCTGCAACTCTTGTGTAGATTTGTTAAGGTGGACAATGATCAATATTCCAAAAAGATAAAATTAATTTTAAATTTCAAAACAAATAAAGAAACTTAAAGTAAATGGACAAAACTTACACTATTCAGATCCTCTGTAACCTTGTGCAACTTAATCACACTATTATCCAGTTGGTTCTGCTGCTCATAAATTTTCGACCAGTTGAACCAGTCATAAATTTCGGCTCCAGCCACAGCAGCAATGAGTATAATAGTCATTGTTATCATCTTCGCATCCTCTACTCTACCCCAAAGGTCTTTGATTTTTTCCCTTACAACTTTGTAAATCTCGATAAAGTTTTCGCTCCCTCTATTGAAGTCAATCGTGCGAGCAAACATGCAAAACTACCTCATAATGAGGTATGATGAGTAGTGGTTATAGCTTATTTGTATGTGTTTAAATAATTCCACTTGTCGGTTTACATATTTGAATGCTAAAATCATCGAGTACTTGATTTGCATAAATTATTATACAATGGATTACATTGTATTTTTATTCGGTTTTCCCACGATGTAAGAACGAAGTTAAATGTCTTAATTTTGTGTAGATTCGTTGTATTATCTAATTTTTATTTTTATTTTTTGTTTTACTTAGATTGATTAGAAAAACTACATTAGATAAAACATTTAACACTAAACTTTAACATAAGTTTACCAGAACACGGAAAGGGGCCATGGAGGCCGGGAAGGAGCCTGAATGACATCCACTTTGCTCTGCAACTCTTGTGTAAATTTGTTAAGCTGGACAGTCATCTATATTCCAAAAAGATGAAATTAATTTTAAATTTCAAAACAAATTAACAAACGTAAAGTAAATGGAAAAAACTTACAGTATTCAGATCCTCTATAATGTTGTGTAACTTAGCCACACTATTATCCAGTTGGTTCTGCTGCTCAGAAATTTTCGACCTGTTGAACCACTCATAAATTTTGGCTCCAGCCCCAGCAGCAATGAGTATAATAGTCATCGTTATCATCTTCGCATCCTCTACTCTACCCCAAAGGTCTTTGATTTTTTCCCTTACAACTTTGTAATCTCGATAAAATTTTCACTCCCTCTGTTGAAGTCAATCGTGCGAGCAAACATGCAAAACTACCTCATAATAAGGTATGATGAGTAGTGGTTATAGCTTATTTGTATGTGTATAAATAATTTCACTTGCCGGTTTACATTTTGGATGCTAAAAATCATCGAGTACTTGATTTGCATAAATCATTATACTATGGATTACGTTGTATTTTTATTCGGTTTTCTCCTGATGTAAGAATGAAGTTAAATGTCTTTATTTTGTGTAGACTGGTTGTATCATCTATTCTTTATTTTTTATTTTTTTACTTAGATTGATTAGAAAAACTACATTAGACAAAACATTTAACACTAAACTTTAACATAAGTTTACCAGAACACGGAAAGAGGCCGTGGAGGCCGGGAAGGAGCTTGAATGACATCCACTTTGCTCTGCAACTCTTGTGTAGATTTGTTAAGTTGGACAATGATCTATATTCCAAAAAGATTAAATTAATTTTCAATTTCAAAAAAAATTAACAAACATAAAGTAAATGGAAAAAAACTTACAGTTTTCAGATCCTCTATAATCTTGTGTAAGTTAGCCACACTATTATCCAGTTGGTTCTGCTGCTCAAAAATTTTCGACCTATTGAACCAGTCATAAATTTCGGCTCTAGCCCCAGCAGCAATGACTACAATAGTCATTGTTATCATCTTCGAATCCTCTACTCTACCCCAACAGTCTTTGATTTCTTCCCTTACAACTTTGTAATCTCGATAAAATTTTCGCTCCCTTTGTTGAAGTCAATCGTGAGATCAAACATGCAAAACTACCTCATAATGAGGTATGATGGGTGGTGGTTGTAGCTTATTGGTATGTGTTCAAATATTTTCACTTGCCGGTTTACATGTTTGGATGCTAAAAATCATCGAGTACTTGATTTGCATAAATTATTATACTATAGATTACGTTGTATTTTTATTCGGTTTTCTCCCGATGTAAGAACGAAGTTTAATGTCTTTATCTTGTGTAGACTTGTTGTATCATCTCATTTTTTTTATTTTATTTTTTGTTTTACATAGATTGATTAGAAAAACTTCATTAGATAAAACATTTAACACTAAACTTTAACCTAAGTTTACCAGAATACGAAAAAAGGCCATGGAGGCCAGGAAGGAGCTTGAATGACATCCACTTTGCTCTGCAACTCTTGTGTAGATTTGTTAAGCTGGACAGTGATCTATATTCCAAAAAGATGAAATTAATTTTAAATTTCAAAACAACTAAAGAAACGTAAAGTAAATGGAAAAAACTTATATTATTCAGGTCCTCTATAACCCTGTGTAAGTTAGCCAAACTATTATCCAGTTGGTTCTGTTGCTAAGAAATTTTCAACTTGTTGAACCAGTCATAAATTTCGACTCTAGTCCCAGCAGCAATGAGTGTAATAATCGTTGTTGTCATCTTCGCATCCTCTACTCTACCCAAAAGATCTTTGATTTTTTCCCTTACAACTTTGTAATCTCGATAAAATTTTCGCTCCTTCTGTTGAAGTCAATCGTGCGAGCAAACATGCAAAACTGCCTCATAATGAGGTATGATGAGTAGTGGTTGTAGCTTCTTTGTATGTGTTCAAATAATTTCACTTGCCGGTTTACATGACTGGATGCTAAAAATCATAGAGTACTTGATTTGCATAAATTGTTATACTATGGATTACATTGTATTTTTATTCGGTTTTCTCCCAATGTAAGAACGAAGTTAAATGTCTTTATTTTGTGTGGACTCTTTGTATCATCTAATTTTTATTTTTTATATTTTACTTAGACTGATTAGAAAAATTACATTAGATAAAACATTTAACACTAAACTTTAACATAAGTTCACCAGAACATGGAAAGAGGCCATGGAGGCCAGGAAGGAGCTTGAATGACTATAAATAACATCTCATATCACTCCGACCGAACTGTCAAAGCTGATGTGGAATGAAGGCTGGAGGTTCAGCTGTTATTTTTGACATCTCAAAAGCAAGATGTCAAATAAATATTTTATTATTTTTTTAAATAGCTGGCTTCTACTTTCATTTATTATTTTTCTTTTTTATTTTGTTTCATTCTTTCTCTTTCCAGTTTATTTCCTACCGTTGAAAAATTGTTTTTAAACACACGACTAGTTCTTCCTATCGTACATGTATTTGTTTATCACCTCTTTCATTTTCTTCAAAAAGCTATATATATATATATATATATATATATATATATAAAGAACTTGTGCTCAAACACAATTCTTCTTTTATACCAAAAAAATTTCTTTTCTTTTACAGTGAATTATGAAGAACCCCAACATGTCTCATCATTTTTCAGATTCATCTTCTGATTCGACAAATGAGCACTTTTGGGATCTTGTTGATTCAAAGTCTGATGAAGAACTAGAAATGTTGGAAGTGGTTGCTTTGCAAAAGGAACAAGAGATGTGGAAGGAGAAACGAGTAAACATCATGGTGCTGTCCAAGGTCATGCATATATCGACAGAGGACGACTACAAGGGCACCAAAGACTCTATGATGATTATTTTGCTGAGAATCCTAAGTACTCTCTAGCTCAATTTCGAAGAAGGTTCCGAATGCACCGACCACTTTTTCTTCGAATCGTAAATGCAGTAGAAGAATATGACTCATACTTTACCCAAAAAAGAGATTGAGCTAGTCGTCTTGGTTTATCACCTTTACAAAAAGTCACTACTGTGATGAGAATGATTGCTTACGGAGTTGCAGCTGATGCTGTGGATGATTATGTGCGGATCGGTGAAACTACTTCAATTGAATCAATGAAAAGGTTTGTTCAAGCGGTTATTGACATTTTTGGTGAGAATTACTTGAGAAGGCCAAACAATGCTGATATTTCAAGGTTATTAACAGAGGGTGAGAGTCGGGGGTTTCCAGGAATGCTGGGTAGCATCGATTGTATGCATTGGAAATGGAAAAATTGTCCGGTTGCATGGAAAGGGATGTATGCTCGTGGAGACCATAGCGAGCCTTCGTTGATTCTAGAAGCTGTGGCTTCAAAAGATCTATGGATATGGCATGCTTTTTTTGGACTACCAGGATCACATAATGATATAAATGTCTTAGAACATTCTCCTTTATTTTCTAACCTCCGGGAAGGCCGAGCTCCTCCAGCCAATTACTCAATTAATGGTCACGACTATACAATGGGTTATTATCTTGCTGATGTTATTTATCCATCATGGGCAACATTTGTCAAAACTATTCCATGCCCCCAAGGACCAAAGGCCAAAAATTTTGCAGCAGCCCAGGAGTCTGCGAGGAAAGATGTTGAACGGGCATTTGGAGTGCTCCAAGCACGTTTTGCAATTATTCGTGGTCCTGCTCGTTTTTGGGATCGTGAAATGCTTCAAAGAATCATGAAAGCATGCATCATAATGCATAACATGATCATTGAAGATGAACGTGATGATCGCCTTCCACGAGATTATGATGTAAGAAATGGTGAAAGTATTGATCTTGTGATCTCACATGAACGGACAACAGAATTTCAAGCTTTTATTCGAAATCATATTCGTATTCGTGACAAAGGAACCCATAATATGCTCCAAGCGGATCTAGTTGAACACTTGTGGGGGTGGCGAGGTGGTGATACTCGTAATTAATCACAGTATTATGTTTCAAGTTTTAGTTGCATATGTATTGTTTTAAATTTTTGTTTATTAAATCATAAGTGTATTTGGTTTTAAATTGGACTCTGAGAAAACGTCGGTCCATATCCATTTGTTTGTTCTTGTTGTGATAAGATCATTGCTCTATCATATACAACATTAAGAGTTTGTTTCATTTACGTTTGATTTGTCTCATACTCTTATCTCAGTCCATATTAAAATCTAATTTCTATAAGAAAACAATATAATACAAAACAAAACAAATTATAAAATATTACCGTTGCATATCACCTTGAATCGTTTCATTTATGCTTGCACAAATGAACTAATTTGTTGCTATTTTCTTTTCTTTCAAGGTCGTGCATGCATTATTTCAATACAGGTGCATTGTTTTAGTTACTTGTGCATTGTAAATACTTTTGCCCGTTGGAATGTTTAAATACTTGTGCATTGTAAATACTTTTACCCGTTGGAATGTTTAAATACTTGTGCATGTTTCTTTTTCCCGTTGTTCATTAAATTCATCCTCACATTTGATTTCTATAAATATACCACATTTTTATATTTGCTTGTGCATCCTCACATTCAATCTCTCAAATTTTCCTCTAGAAATATTATGGATTCTCAATACTCCCAATTGCCAAATTTTTCTACTCAACAATCTCAATTTTCAAGTGAAGTATGTGATCAAGTAAATGTGGAAGTGTCTGAAAAGAAAAAGATCCGCGGTGCTGGCTTCAACAAAGATGAGGATCGTCTTCTTGTTAGTGCATGGTTAAACACTAGTATGGATGCTATACATGGAAATGAGCAAAACATCAAACTTTTTGGGCACGAATTGGGGATTATTACAACCAAAATAAGTGGTTCGAAAGTAGTCGAACTGACCGAATGCTATCTCAACGGTGGCAAAAAATTCAGAAGGAGGTCAATAGATTTTCTGGATGTATTGCCACCATAAATGAGAGAAATCAGAGTGGCAAAACTGAGCAAGATAAGGTAAATTTAAATGGTATTAGTGTATTTAATTATTAAATTTGTTCTCATGTGGAGTTTTGTTTTGTTTTTTTAATCTTTAGATTGCGGATGCAAAGGCTACATATGAAGCAATATACAAAGCAAAGTTCAACCTTGATCATGCTTGGATTTTATTGAGGCACCAACCAAAGTGGTTACAAACTCAAGAATCAGTGAGTAAGAAGCGTGAAAACCAATCTGACTTCACTAGTTTCTCATCATCTTCTACTGAAAGAACTCCTATAGATGTTGACCAAGACAACACCAATGATACTTATGCTCCCACAAAAAGACCACTAGGTAAGAAGGCCGAAAAGAGAAAGATGAAAGAAACCACTAGTGATGAGCCCACTCCTATTTTGGTGCAAATTCAAACATTACATGAAGAAAAAAAGGAAAGAGATGAAAGGAAAATGGAGCTTATTAAGAAGAAAGTTGAGCAAGACGAAAAAAACACTCCGACTCAAACAAATGGAGTTCAAGACGAAAATTATGTCTATTGATACATCTGGAATGTGTGATGAGGAAAGACTATATTATACTCAACTTAGAATGAAAATTCTTCGAGGTGATGGATTGTGAATTATATTTCAATGAATTCATTATCTTGTAGTATTTTTTTTTCTTTTTCAATTAATTGATTGTCTTTTAGTATTTTCTTTTCTTTTTAATTAAAAATATAAAAATTTAATTTAATTTAATTTGACATATCGGATGGAGTGTAAAACTATGTAAATGTCAAATTGCCACATCAGCCATCAAATTTAAATTTGATGTTTAGAATTTGACATATCCCTTGGAGATGCTCTAATGAGGTATGATGAGTAGTGGTTGTAGCTTATTTGTATGTGTTTTAATAATTTCACTTGCCGATTTACATGTTTGGATGCTAAAATCATCGAGTACTTGATTTGCATAAATTATTATACTATGGATTAAGTTGTATTTTTATTCGGTTTTCTCCCGATGTAAGAACGAAGTTTAATGTCTTTATTTTGTGTAGACTCGTTGTATCATCTAATTTTTTATTTTTTTTTGTTTTGCTTAGATTGATTAGAAAAACTACATTAGATAAAACATTTAACACTAAACTTTAACATAAGTTTACCAGAATACGGAAAGATGCCAGGGAGGCCGGGAAGGAGCTTGAATGACGTCCACTTTGCTCTGCAACTCTTGTGTAGATTTGTTAAGCTGCACAATGATCTATGTATGAAAAAGATGAAATTAATTTTAAATTTCAAAACAAATAAAGAAACTTAAAGGATTTACTTAGCACGCAACTGGATTAATTGAACATAGAAAGAAAATAATGCTTACAAAACAAAACATAAAAACAAAGATTAATCAAATGAGCTCACAATAATTACCAATATCTATCTTGTAAGATAAATGGTCAATGACATTGACATATAGTATGGGATCAGATGAATTGTGGTTCTTGTGTATGTATTGTCTCACCCCGAACAATGGGTGATTTGCAGGGCTTTTGTGTTTCGGTTTGGAACCTTGCCCTTGCTCAGTAGTTACAATAGAATTTTTGTTGTTTTCCTCTACATTTTTCCAAGGGGGCACCCTAATAGTCTTCTTACCCTTGCACAACGTGCCTCGGAAGTTGCCTTGTGTTGGCATAGTGCTCCCTCCCTATACCCTCCTCTATTTAACCCATCATTTTAATTAAACAAAAAATTAATATATATATATATATATAACAAGAATTAATATTAAGAAAAATTGAAGACACAAAGGTTAATAAATACTTTAACCATTTAATATAGAGAGTTGAATACGTCAATTTTTCACACCGAAAGCTTTAAAAATATAGTAAACAATGATGATTCCATACAAGGAAGCCTAACAGAAAGGCATCCTTATATTCATATTACCATTGACCATAAAATCATCAAATTTTGTACCAATAAACATGCATGTTTGTTTTATCATCTCAGAGGAGCTGGCCACATAACACTAGCAAATTAAACGATGAGTTGGAATAAAATTGAACAAGAAAGTGGTTATTAACCTCATCTGTCCTAGCATCAACAAACAAAAAAAAATTCAATAATTGGTAAGAACTCTTTGCCGTCACTGTGAGCCCAAAAAAATCTAAACATAAAGTTTGAGAATTTACATAAATTACAAAATATAAACACCATAAAAATTCAATAATCGATAAAGAGCAACTACTCATTCTATTCTATGCCCCTTCATGTAAATAAAGGGATTAAATGGAAAAAAAAAAAAAAAAAAAAAAAAAAGAGAGAAAAACGAAATTACCTTGGTAAAAAGTTCACTCATTTTCCTTGTATCCTCATAATTAAACACCTAACTTAAAGATTAAAAACAATGGAATTTATTGCATCTAACCATTCTAATCATGCAAAATCATAAGAAAATATCATAAAAAAGATATATAAATATTAATGTATCAAAACTCATACATATAACATTAACATTGGTACAAAATAATACTAATGATATGTGTCATGCCAAAAGTTTGGGAAATACATGAACAATCTGGTTGTAATGAACATTTCGTACGTAAAACCTAAACCATATTTATAGTGGAAGTACTACAATGCATGTCATTTTATTGGGGTGAATGGAATCCAAAATCTATTACGATCTCTAGGTGGCGAGCCTTGCATGTCAAATTGTGATTCCAATATACTATACTCAAGTGTCTCAAAGGTGAAACCATCAGAGATGTAACGAGTGGAGTCACTAGACACTTTGCCAAATGAGAAGCCCGAGTTAGGGGTTCTATAAGAAGGGGACAATGTCTTATTCCTATGACCGACACTCAAGGAGGAAGACAATGTTATGTTCCCAACAATTGTATCATCTTGTGGTCCAAAACTAGAAAGAATGCAATTTGGATAGTTTCTTTTGTTGTGACTAGTACCCTTGCACTCTCTGCATTGCTGGGCCTTTTTGCTTTTGCTTCTCGTTGTTTGCTTCCCCTTTGTCTTAACAACTACGCGATCTCTTACAACATTATTATGGCATCCTAGATTAAGATTAGTTTGTCCATGTTGCTCTTTTCATCTCTCAACCAAAGTACTTAATCTCCCAAATTCAGCTTTTAGCCTCTTGTAACCGACTTCTGTCTGCGACCCATAAACACAAAGCTTGTTAAAATTGATGCTTTATGACCCAAACCTAGCTATTTGAACAATTTCGTTGGGAACATCATCCGACTTGACTATAAATTCACTCCCACATCTTACATCCTTTGTCCATCTCTTCATTATTAGGGCCGGAAGTATTTGGTCCGTATGATCACATTTCATAACTCCAAACATATGACAATACGGAATTCTACTGGATTCAAATAATTTGCATGAACACTGAAGATGTTGCTCTTTCCGATAGCACACCACAATCCATTTTTCATCGGGTCTTCCAAATTTGGGAAATTTGTAAACACGAGGATCGTCATTGTTTCTTACGAGTTGCATGAGAAATAATTTTGCCTCATTATTTATCTCATTTCTTATCAACTTGTATGTGTTGTAAGTGAAAATAGAAGTTGCATGTTCCTCTAGTGATCGGAGGTGCGTAAGAATGAGTGGGTGTGAATTCTTCAAATCAAAGTCATCCTTTGCATCCTCATTTCTCAACTTCAATAAGAATCTTTCAATCTGTAGAATACACTCCACCAACTTCATGTGTGATGGTATTCTCACCAAAAAAATGTCCCGAGCAATATGCTTCAGCCCATCGTTTCCGTTTATGGTACATCATCTCAATCCAATTACCTTTTAGATCATAGGTGTTGATACCGTTACTAACTGAGCAACTAGCTAGGCTAGATCAGCCACATGCCATGCTTTGAGAGGTCATCACCTTAGCTAAAGAAGCCTTACCACAAGTCACTGCTCTATGCAAGGCAAAGAGTCCCATATTGGAAGACTACAAGAGGTGGAGACTCCCCTCACCTATAAAAGAAGACTACTCTCCACTTAGAAAAGGGGTCTTAGGTCTTGGGATCTTAGGTCTAATCCCCTTGTACAAATGTTAACAAACATTACTATTCAGGTGAACCACGTATATCTTGTCTTCTGCATGCTTATTTACTTTACTTATGTTGAATGTCACTGACTGCCGAAGGCACATACACATACTGAAGGCCCACGTCTTCACACACCATCCACCACTCCACATCTATCTAGGTTAATACCCAGTTTTGGGTGTTAACAGTTTGGCGTCGTCTGTGGGAATCGACACAAGAAGCCCTTGTCGATTCTCCCTTCTTCAGTGCCTTTCAGCACCCTTACAATCAACATCACTTAATTGTCGTTCGGCAATACCCGTGGTAAGGCAACTATGAGTCACTAAAACATCAAGATGACGAAGACACTACTCTTGTTGAAACCTCCATCAGATAAGTGGCACATTCATTATTTTTACAAATTATTTAATATTGAAGGAACTTATTATTCTTGGGATCAAGAAAAGCCACGTGCATTATTTCTAAGAGATAAACCACATTTTCTTATCATATATTTTAGTATATTCATAAGCATGCAATTCAATGATTGCATATATTATTCAAGTGGCTCAATCAGTGACCTAGCCTTCATTCATTCTCATTTTAATACTATTTTGTCCTATTTGCCATATAGGAAAGTCTGGAGCAATTTAAATGGCCAAGCCAAACGGCACCCCATCCTCCAAACAACAACCATATGCTTTAGAAAGTTCATAACTCAAAGAACCATGCTTGCTGTTACTCTTTCATGGGCTACGGTTTGGAACTCCATACCAGCAATTTTTATCAAGCCACCCAATTCCTACCCCAAAATTGCCAACAGATATACGAATAACATCTCATGGCTGGCAAACCAAGGCCTGCCGAACGGCATCTCAGGCATTGGGGACAACCAAAGATTGCAAGTGCCGCACGACACATCAATCCAAACCAAATAGCACCCAACCACCAAATTGATATAGACACCCAAAGAGAATGGGTTCATCATCAGCAAACCCAATTGCCGATCGGCACCCCATCTCGTACATCTCTCTATCTTCCAGTAATTGCAAAACCACTATCTTCAATCGACCACTGCGAACTACCACGTTCTCGGAGCAAATAAACCTACCAATCGGTACGGCAATCATGGAAAAATATTGTACAGTGCAACAAGGGAGACTTAAACTTCTCTACCAATCAAAGCTGCCAAATGAGGTATGGCCCATGCCGAAGATATCATCAACACACCCCAGGCCAGTCCATATATATATTGCTTAACGGCAAGGACGCATAGTATTGGTTGTCACAACCCATCATCGTCCCTGGCTTCATCAACCTTCGCATCCCTTAAACACCATCAAAAGCATGGGCATACACAACAAGGTCCATTCAACGTCCCTACCGATCGGTAGGCCGCTGACCAAGGTTATAGGGAACTCTCCACACCTCTAACTGACGGACAACGCCAAGAACCTTCTCTAGAACCCAACTATAAAGGCATTCAGACCAACATGTTGTATCGAACGACACCTCGTGCGGCTCCAACCTCCATTGGTCTATGAAGCCAATTGCCACACGGAAAATCCTAAAATTTCAAATTTCTGAATAACACCCATCAAATTCCTCAGGACACCCCAGGAAGTTCAAGCCACTGGTATGAAGAAAATTTCAAGACCATAATGGCTTCAGCAAGTTAGAACACAGCTTACAGACACATCCCCAAAGGCTTGAAATGCAACTCCTCCACTCCAACAAAATCCACACATTTTGAATTTTTACCATGCTTCTGAAACAAACCTGACAAATCCCCCACGACACCTCCTCTACAAAAAATAAAAAGAGACGAGCTTCAACATTTATTTCACCTTTGGTACATACACAGGTTGCCGAATGACGTATTCTCCGTTGCCAACTCATTAGACTAACAAGATCCCAACCAGAGAGACCACTCGCGTCCTTACCGTTCGGCACCCTCCCTTCTTTACCAAAGTTTCTCAAGTGGGCAAATCAAGAGTGCAAAACTCAAGTTTTCAATATTCTGAGGCTACGGATCGGTAGCCATGCCACCAGGTTTCTCAAGACACCCATTTGGTCAAAGGTTCCGAACGGCACGTCATAGCCTATTGGCGTACGAATAAACTCTCGACTTGTCAAAGTGCATTGTGTGTGTTCAAACAATCAAGCAACCCAAAAACAGAGGAGGGATTCAACTTTTGCTTAGACAAAATCGAGACACCTGAATCAAGTAACGTACCAAAACCTTCCAAAATTGATCAGAAATGCCCTTGCCGATCGGAAGGTGTGATGTCACACCTTTTGTTCGGTAGGCCATCGACAAAAGTTATGAGACAGCTCCCAAACCATCCACAACCAATTGGCAAGCCAACTACGACACCTCCGCAAGCAACCACACCATCTCTAGAAATCTGCAGTGCCCTCAACGATCGGCAAAGCCCTTTACGATCGGCATATCTCCCTTGCTGAACCAACATAACGCCCCGCATTGCCTCCTCTATCTTGTACCAAGGTTGCCAAACGGAAAATCCATGCCGGTGAGTTTCGATTTTCTTTATCCCAACTCCAATCTCCAACTACCAAACGATACCTCCCAAAGAGATGGGCGATACCCCTTCCCCAATTTACTTCTACACGCTCCCTACCGAACGGAAAGGATGACGTCCCCCATTCCGATTGGTAAGCCACCGACCGAAGGTATGAGATAGCACCAAATTCAACTCCAACGATTGGCAATTCCTCAACAACGTATGATGTTACACCTGTTGTATGGTAGTTGTCATGCTAAAGGTAGGAGACAACCCCAAAAAACTCATGAAATTGATATGGGTCCGCTACTATTCCAAAAAAAAATTATATATATATTTTTAAAATGCTACTATTATTATTATTATTTCCTACATAATAATAAAAAATGCATATATGCATTTCTTCCCTTCGACAACCCCCTTTGCCTCCAGCAACCCAGTGCCTTTTGGCATTTTTATCTTGCGACATGCAAGCTTTGCACCTTCGACACCCTTGTACCATTTCACGTCTTCCGACACATGACTCGCGATGACATCATACCTTCCCTTCGGAACCTTGCCTTCCGAAGCTTGGAAGAAGACTCACGCCACTCACGATGATGTCATACCTTCGGCATCCCCTTTGCCTTTGGCACCCCTATGCCCATGCACATTGCCTTGCCACATGTAAGCCTTGAGCCTTCAGCATACCCTTTGCCCCTTCAGAACTCCCGTGCCTAACCACATTGCCTTGCGATATGCAAGCTTTGTGCCTTTGGCACTTTGCCTTTGGCACCCCCATGCCTAAGCACATTGCCTTGCGACATGCAAGTTTTGTGCCTTTGGCAACCCCCTTTGCCTTCGGCACCCCCTTGCCTAAGCACATTGCTTTGCGACATGTAAGCTTTGTGCTTTCGGCATCCCCTTTGCCTTCAACACCCCTGTGCCTACGCACATTTCCTCAAGACACGCAAGTTTCATGCAAGTGCCTTCGGCACCCCATTCCCTTTGACACCATTCTAAGTTTTCATGCCCTTTGGCAATTTTTCTTGCGACATGCAAGTCTTGCACCTTCACCCCACCCTTCGGCGTACTATGATTCCCTTTGGTACCGTTGCATAACAAACTGAGGACTTGCAAACCACTTGTGTTTTTGTTGCAAGTTCCCTCCCTCCAATGTCCTTCTTACCTGGGGACTTGGGGGATTATGGGTAGCGCACTGTACGACTTGGAAGATGAACTGTGGTGTTGCTCACCCAATGCACTTAAAATTACAAGTCCCCAACCAAGAAGTACATTCTTACTCGCAAACTTGGGGGACTACTGTTGATACCGTTACTAACCAAGCAACTAGCTAGGCTAGATCAGCCACGTGCCATGCTTTGGGAGGTCATCACCTTAGCCAAAGAAGCCTTACCACAAGTAGGGGCGGCAATTTCCTATACGACCCGTTACACGACTCGAAACCCGCACCCAAAAAACCCGACTCGAACCCGCACGATTAATAATTGGGTAATTTTCGGGTCATCCCGTTTTGACCCGTTTATTAAATGGGTGGGTTTCGGGTCAACCCGCCAACCCGTTAAAATACATGTGTAACCCATTTATTAAACGGGTCGTGTCAACCCGTGAAAAAATATAGGGAAATAGAGACTTCAAAACACACATATGGGGTTTCGAACCCCCTCCATCCTCATTACTCTCCAACACCTTATCCACCATGCTAGATACAACTTTGTGATATATTATGCCTTTTGATATTTTTTTTTTTTTTTTTTTTTTTTTTTTTTTTTTTTTTTTTCTTTCTCTTCTCTCTCTCTCTCTTCTATTTCTTTTCCTTCTCTCTTTTCTCCTATCTTTTCTTACTTCTCTTTAGTTTTCTCTCCTCTCTTATTTTTTTTTCTTTCTTTTCCTTCTCTTTAGTTTTCTCTCCTCTCTTTTTTATTTTTATTTCTTTCCTTCTCTCTTCTCTCTCTCTCTCTCTCTCTCTCTCTCTCTCTCTATTTTTTTTTGTTTTCCTTCTCTCTTCTCTCCTCTCTATTTTTTTTCCTTCTCTCTTCTCTCCTTTCTCTATCCTTTTTTTTCTTTCTTTTCCTTATATTTTCTCTCCTCTCTCTGTTTTTTTTATTTAAATTTTTTCAGTTGTGACTTTTGTAACATGCATGTTATTATTTATCAACCCGTTACACGACTTGAAACCCGCACGATAAAAGACAACCCGAACCCGACACAACACGTTTATTAAATGGGTTGGGTTCGAGTTGAGCATTCTTGACACGTTTAATATCCCGACATGACACGAACTCGACACGACCCAACCCATTGCCAGCCCTAACCACAAGTCACTACTCTAAGCAAGGCAAAGAGTCCCACATTGGAAGACTACAAAAGGTGGAGACTCCCCTCACCTAAAAAAGAAGGCTACTCTCCACTTAGAAAATGGGTTTTAGGTCTTGGGATCTTGGGTTTAATCCCTTTGTACAAATGTAAACAAACATTATTATAATAAGAACATCCTTCTCCGTGGACATAGCCCATCATTCGAGTGAACCACGTATACTTTGTCATCTGCATGCTTATTTACTTTACTTATGTTGAATGTCATTGATTGCCGAAGACAGCCTCTTGCTTTGCCTCCCGAAGGCACATACACATACTGAAGGCCCACGTCTTCACACACCATCCACCACTCCACATCTATCTAGGTTGATACCCATTTTTGGGTGTCAACAATAGGTATCTATCATATGTTACCAACATTGTTCGAACGCCATTAATGTCAAACCACCAGGCACACAATAGCTAAACTCCCTTACAATTTCTGGGTTATTCACATTGGAGTTTACATTCCTCATGATGTGCCATAAACATAAATGATGATGTGAATCAGGAAAAACTTCATCAATCGCAAGGCGCATTGCCTCATCCCCGTTTGTGACAATGGATACAGACTTCTTGCCCTTTAAAAAAGTTATGAGTACCTAACAATATATAGCAGTAGTCTCATCAACAAGAAATGCACAACCAGAAATTGTAGTCGCATTATGGTTGTTTACACTAACAAACACCACTAAAGGCTTGTCATCTACATTGGTCTTGTACGTGCTATCAAATATCAACACATTCTCAAAGCAACAATAATTGTGTAGAGATTGAGAGTCTATGCGAAACAAATTTGCCAATCTATTCTCTTCATTTACGCTAAACATGCAAAAAAATTCCAAGTCCGGTATTGCCTTCGCATTCATGTAGCTTATTGTTGCTTGTGCATCACCATCCAATACTACTTGTCGACGCTCAAAATCCAACATGTTATATAAACTCTTACTGGTGAACCCCACTTTCATGTATCCGTCTGCTTGGTCAACCATATAGTTGTATGTTTGACTGGTTTTAATAGAGGCTTTTCTCATAGAAATAGATTGTGCAATGTCGGATTTCGTAACACACCAGTGGGAACGAAAAAAAGGCACCTCATGTGAATGTGGCAATTCTTTCTAGTCTCTTTCCTTGGTGTATGAACCATATCCTCTCTATTCGTCCAAGCACACCCATTATCTTCCTATCACATGTCACATCCCGAATCGGCTCCGCCATAGCACGATATTGTCCACTTTGGGCCCTTATCCTCACGGTTTTGTTTCTGGGAACTCACGAGCAACTTCCCAGTGAGTCACCCATCCTGGGATTGCTTTAACCCAAACTTGTTTAACTTCGGAGTTCCCATGATTCTGAAGCTAGTAAGCTCTCAAAAGGCCTTGTGCTAGATGGAGGTGGGGATGTACATATAAAACACATCAACCCCTCTCCATTGTTCAATGTGGGACGTTACAATCCACCCTCTTAGGGGTCCGACGTCCTCGTTGGCACACTAGCACCACACGGCATAGTGGCTCTGATAGCATTCTGTCACATCTAGGATCGGCTCCGCTGTAGCACGATATTGTCCGCTTTGGGACCCTACCCTCACAGTTTTGTTTCTAGGAACTCACGAGCAACTTTCCAGTAAGTCATCCATCCTGGGATTGCTCTAGCCCAAACTCGCTTAACTTTGGAGTTCCATGACTCCGAAGCCAGTGAGCTCCTAAAAGGCTTTATGCTAGATGGAGGTGGGGATGTACATATAAGGCATATCACTCCTTCTCCGTTGGTCAATATGAGATGTTACATCACAACCCCACCCTCGCTACATCTCAAACGACTTCTTCTTATGCTAAAACCAATTGCAAAAGTGTAATTCAAATAAAATCTTTATGCTTCCTCAAATTTTGTAAACTCTCTCCCCTCTAAATCAACAATGCTCATATTTTGCAAGTTTAACTCATCGTACTCATAGTGTCCGCTAGTCACAGTAATTTCTTCTGTTATATTGTTCAAATACTGCGAAGATGGGATATTTTATGTTTCTTCTAGTGACTCAACCTCCGCAAAATAACCTTTATTGTTAGGTACGGAGCTTTGACCTTGATTTCCATTGTTTTTTCTTACTTCTGCATCTATTTCCTAAAAATAGGCAACATGTCCTTCATGGTTTAATTAATATGGAAATAAATGGATACACATCAATTGAATTTAGTAGAAGTATAAACATACAATTAATTATAAAGGATTTGTCAATAATAAAATATTCTACGTTTTATAATTGCACATAGAAAATAGCAATAAAGCCATTGTAATGAAAATGAGACTATTCTGTTTTTCAATTGCAAGACTATAATGCAATTTGTATCTACATGTTTGTCAATTTCAAGACTATAATGCAATTCAAACTACTTGTTTGTCAATTTCATCCACAAATCACCTATTGTATTTACATTCTCAAAATTGAATAACATACTAATTGCAAAATCGGACTAAACAATTGGTAATTAGATTCAAAAATGACATATCGAAGTACCTCTTGCATTTCTATTAACAAAATGCAAGGCTACAAATCTCATGGCATTTTCATTACAGTAATTGTAATAACAGACTAATCCGTTGGTAATTGCATTCTGAAAATGCAAAAGCTTGCCAATTGCATGCCAAGTACGTACACTAATTGCAAAACCTCCCTTACGATTTGGTAATTGCACGCCTAAATATTATACCAAATTTCAGTATAATACAACAACTCCGACGAAGATGAATGCAATGTCAATGCTCAGAATATCATTACAAGTATAAAATTCTACCCAATGCTTTTGGAATTAGACAAAATTTTCAATAACACTGTCTAACATCAAAGAAGAGAAAGATATTGATATATTATCATAACAGTAAAACAGCTATAGTTCTAGGAATATATAAGTGGACATGAGAACTATGTAGTGAGATTGCATACATCGAGACTTATCATAGTCCCTAATTCTAAATATGTTCATGGTCATAGGAGTATCAATTGGGCGTTGATTTTCCACCAAGACCAGATATCTTCTCTATACGTAAAGAATGATGAGGTCTCAAGTCATAGACGGTAGCGACACCTAGATATGTGTGTAGATGCTTGTAGGAGAACAAGTACATTGAATACGATCAAATACATGAGTTTTAAAATAGAAGTCTTTACTCACATATCAAACTAGAACTCATAGATTGCAATGGTTCAAACTGATCTTTAGACCTAAAACATCATAAATGTCTTGTGGCTATGTTGTTTGTCTCTGAGGGAACTAGACAATTATGTTGTAGGAGACATGACCTAAAAGTGTTTATCAGGACTTTCAATAAAGTCATGAAGACAAATGAATTTACAATAAGGAATCTCTACTCTTAGTAAGGAGAAAGAATACTCCAAAGATATGATTGATCAAATCTCTGCACAGAGCAGTGAATAAGATTTGAAGAAGTAGTCTTCAAATCTTACCAGGATAATCATATAAAAGAATAATTCACATTAGGATATTTGACATTAGATTTTATTATCTAATAATGTGAATAAGGAGTATTGTATAAGAGAAGGATTCAATGGCACAGTCATTCCAATTTGAATAGGTTATTCCATACACCTTTTTTAGCTCGGATAACCATGACATGTTGTTAGGTGTCAATCATGGTTTGTGGAAGTCCTAAAAGGTTCAATTATAATTGACCTTACTAATAGGAAGAATTAATTAGATTTAATTCACAAATCAACTCACAGAACTTGAGTCAACCCACTACCTTGCTAAAAGGAACCTACGGATTGTACACCGAGAAATGTGATTAGAGGAACAAATGAAGATAAAGGAAACTAGAGAAACAAATAAAGAAGATAAGACGTTGAAAGTCAATAGTCAATAGTCAAAGTCAACATGTTTGACCATAACGGTTGACCAAGTCAAACTATTCTGACTAAGGATTTGAATTAATGGTTAAGTCACGAATCACAATTAAAATGTCAATTGTGAAGTTAGTTTGACAATTGGACTCGATTTAGGCTTTAAATGCATTTTGGGCCAAATGGCGAAATAGCCCAAGGACCCAATGAGCCCAGGACTAGGAACATGTGTTGTATGACAATACAAGTTAAATGAGCCCAAGAGGAGCCCAAGAAACACTATGGCTGAAATTCCCATTCTCCTCATCTTCTTGTTGGCTATTTAAGCCACAGTTTGACATTTTGAAGTTAGGGTTTTTGGCATTTCAACTTGGAGTTCTTGATGTGTAGAAGAGGCATCCTCTTTCTCAACTTTCTTAGCCAAAAATGGGTCCAACCTAAAAGGCTTAGCTCAACTTGAATAAGCAAAATGAATCCGCCATTTAGAAGGATTTTGTGTTATATGTTGAGGCTAAATTCATTCCAAGTCATGAAATGCAAAATGTTTCCTTCAAGGGTCTATAGTCGATGGTGTTTGCGGGAGAAGGGAGAGGAGGGAGAAAGAGAGAGCTGAGGGTGGGAACAATTAGATAAGAGGCGGAGGGTTGGGAAGATGGAAGGGGAATGAGGGGAATGGGATGGTGGGAGATACGGAAGGGGAAGGGGAAGGGGAAGAGGAATGAGGGGGGAGGCTGAGTTTATTTTTGTTCTCTTTTTTTTTTAAATTTCTATTTTTTTAAAATGTTAAATATTTATTTTCTTTTAAAATAATTTAAAATTATTATTTTAAAATATTTTTTATTTAGATTCACGTGGCATGATCTCATTGGATATGTGGGCACCACATATATGCCACGTCATCAATTTAACAGAAAATTTGACGGAACTTCACGACGAGACCAAATTGGTGTGTGATATGTAACATAAAGGACCAATAATGTCAGAAAAAAAAATATAATAACGGACCAAAGGTGATAATTTGACAAACCTCAAAAAAAAAAAAAAAAAAAAAAAAAAAAAAACAAAAAACCAAGGTAATTTAAAGAAGTTTTAAGCAGGAAAAGGATAAATGAGGACGTGAGGATGTTGTGTCAAAGTGTCGGTGTTGTGGGAGCCACAGATTGCAAGGAGATTTGTCAGACCAAAAAAATTTCTCCATCCTATGCAACAACATTAATCTTTTCCGTTTACAATATGTGGAATTCCTATTCTATTCTAATTCTAATGTCGAATTTTTCTATTTTTTCGGTCGTCATCATTTACGCCATTGTTTTTAGCTTGTAAGCAACCAAAAGCGCTTTCGTTTACGCGAAATCAAAGCCTCTGCTTTCTTACAATCGACCAAAAAAATTTCGAAGTTTTGTTACGTCTCTTTTTCTTGGCGTTCCATCTCGTTTGCCACTTTCCTGAAATAGCAATATAAATAGAAGCTTCCAACAATCTATATAGTTTTGTCGGATAGGTCGCGGAGTGGTCTCTCCGCCACCTTATCCGCCTTTAATAAAAGAGATTTCCATATCCAATTCAAACCCATCAGAGCGGCGTCACCATCACGTTGATATCTTTATCCATTCACAATTCCCAATACTTCCCATAAATCCCATCCAATCCCATATATTGGTGTATTGGGTTCCATTTATTGAAGTTCGTTTACCTGTTATTTGTTGCTTGGAATTTCAATCTCTTGGGGTTCCTTTAGCAGGCAGTGAGAAACTTGGGTTCTGATCTGAGAACCGATTTGGCTGTTAATTTGATTGCTCCTGAGAATTTGAGGCAAAACCCAGTTGGGTTTCTGATTTGGGAGGTGGGTTTTTGTTTGGTTTGCTGATCAAGTTTTCTGGGTTGAATTTTGTGGATTTGAAATTCTTGGGGTTCCTTGGGGCTTGGTTGGGCAGGTTTTGGAAACCCACCAAGCTTTTGAGCTGGTGGGTGTTGGCAATTTGAGGATTTGGGGTCAAAGTTGTGACTTTTCCATTGGTTTTGGAGGGGGATTTCTCTGGAATTTGGAAAGCTTCAAGATTTAAAGCGGTTGGAGAATTTGGTAACTGATATTTAATTTGCAATTAGGTTTTCCTTGTTTGGTTTGTTGGGTACCTTTTTATTTCATTTGAGCTAAAGCTTGAAGCAATAGATAAATCTTAATTGAACTTTTGGAATCATATCTCATTGACTTCTATTTTAATTCTGTATGATTCAATTTGAGATTCTACTGCAAGGACTTGTTTGTCATTCAATTGCCCGCCTCATTCTTTTGTAAACTTGGAGAGCTAAAACCACATTTGTAGTTATAAGGGCTGTTGTAGATTTTATAACCCTTCAGCTTTGTTGACCAAGGATATATACCTTTGCTACAACGACAAAAATACAGACATTTTACTTACTCCAAAGAAATGGATATAAGCAATGAGGCCAGTGTTGATCCATTTCCTATTGGACCTTCAACCATTGTTGGTCGGACTATTGCTTTCAGGGTTTTATTTTGCAAGTCAATGTCACAGTTGAGGCAACAATTGTTTCATACATTGTTGCGTCTTATCTATAGATGCAGGGACTTTTTGGCTCCCATGTTCTCATGGTTGCATCCTCGAAATCCACAAGGGATATTGGCAATGGTGACAATTATTGCTTTTTTGTTGAAGCGATACACAAATGTAAAAGTCAAGGCTGAAATGGCTTATCGGAGGAAATTTTGGAGAAATATGATGAGAACTGCATTGACTTATGAGGAGTGGGCTCATGCTGCTAGGATGCTTGATAAAGAGACCCCAAAGATGAATGAATCAGACCTTTATGATGAAGAAGTAGTTAGGAATAAGCTTCAAGAGCTCCACCACCGTCGTGAAGAGGGTTCTCTCAGAGATATAATGTTCTGCATGCGAGCAGATCTTGTTAGAAATCTTGGTAATATGTGCAACCCTGAGCTTCACAAGGAGAAACTTCATGTTCCCAAACTCATAAAGGAATACATCGATGAGGTCTCAACTCAGTTGAGAATGGTCTGTGATTCAGACTCAGAAGAGCTCTCATTGGAAGAGAAGCTTGCTTTCATGCATGAAACAAGACATGCTTTTGGGAGAACTGCCCTGCTCTTGAGTGGGGGTGCTTCTCTTGGATCTTTCCATGTGGGTGTGGTTAAAACGCTGGTGGAACATAAGCTTTTGCCAAGAATAATTGCTGGTTCTAGTGTGGGGTCCATTATGTGTGCTGTTGTTGCCACTAGGTCTTGGCCTGAGCTCCAAAGTTTTTTTGAGGATTCTTGGCACTCATTGCAGTTTTTTGATCAGATGGGTGGGATTTTTACAGTTGTCAAGAGGGTCATGACACGCGGGGCAGTTCATGAGATCAGGCAGTTGCAAATGATGTTAAGACATTTAACGAGTAATCTTACGTTCCAAGAAGCTTATGACATGACAGGTCGAATTCTTGGGATAACTGTTTGCTCCCCAAGGAAGCACGAGCCACCTAGATGCCTTAACTACTTGACTTCACCTCATGTTGTTATATGGAGTGCAGTGACAGCTTCTTGTGCTTTTCCAGGCCTTTTTGAGGCTCAGGAACTAATGGCAAAAGATAGAAGTGGAGAGATTGTTCCTTATCATCCTCCATTTAATTTGGGTCCAGAGGAAGGGTCAATGCCAGTGCGTAGATGGAGAGATGGTAGCTTGGAGATAGATTTACCTATGATGCAGCTGAAAGAACTGTTCAACGTTAATCATTTTATTGTCAGTCAGGCAAATCCTCACATTGCACCATTGTTAAGGCTAAAGGAATTTGTAAGAGCTTGTGGAGGCAACTTTGCTGCCAAGGTATGTATTGATAGACCTCAATTCAGAGTCTTTTTAAAATTATTGTCTTTGTCCAATGGTTTTAGTTGTCTGTGTAGTCTTATTTTTCTCGTTACGAATATGAAAAGTCTTAGCCTTATCAACTTGTTTCTGCCTTCTTACTGCTTTTCTCTGTTTTTCTTCCGTACCTAACAACTTCGTAGAAATTAGAAGAAAAAAGTGAAGTTTTCCTGTAGCTGGTGAAATGTTGTATGATTCTCCAAGCCGGTTTGGATTTCTCTCAGTTGGGATACCAGCTTATGATAAATTCTTGGCTGCATCACCAACATGTGGTTTGGATTTCAGTAAGAGAAATCCATTTAGTTTCAACTTGTGGTTAGAATTTACTGGCTTAGGAAATATTTCTTTTGATCTCAGCATCAGACCACATCTTTATGGACTCCAGTTCCAATTGCTTTGCCAAAAACAATCTTGATAAATTACAGTGGTCTATCGTCTTGATTTATCAGCAAGCACCTTATTGAAAGGAATAGACATTGAGCTAGGATTGCTTATCTGTTCTTGCACACTGGTTGTAATATCGTATTTGGATTCTGTTACGTGATTTTGTTACTTTGACATTCTGATGACATGGGAATTAATCCATTTTAGTCTTTAACTGTGTAGCTTGCTCATCTTGCTGAGATGGAGGTGAAACATAGATGTAACCAGATCCTGGAACTTGGTTTTCCATTAGGTGGACTTGCGAAACTGTTTGCTCAAGATTGGGAGGGTGACGTTACTGTTGTTATGCCTGCCACACTTGCTCAGGTATGGGGACAAAGCATTAACTACTGAATTAGGCTTGGTCATTATTTCAGGGAACCTTACATTATAGTACTTGCTTAACAAATTTCTTAAAGTATAACTAACTTTGGATTGGTTAAATTGAACAAAGTATTACAAAATTAAGCTTTTTTGGAGTATTTTGAATTTTTTGTTTTTCTCTTGTGGACCAATTAGAATAATCCTTTAGATGGAGACTAACTAGCCATTTGTTTTTCTGACTTATTTACCAGTACTCAAAAATTATACAAAATCCAACATATATTGAACTTCAAAAGGCAGCCAACCAAGGTAGAAGATGCACTTGGGAGAAGCTCTCGGCCATAAAAGCAAACTGTGGCATTGAGCTTGCTCTTGATGAGTGTGTTGTAATTCTCAACCACATGCGCAGACTCAAAAGGAGTGCTGAAAGAGCTGCAGCTTCTTCTCATGGCCTAGCTACTACAGTCAAATTCAGTGCATCAAGAAGAATTCCTTCTTGGAATTGTATTGCTCGTGAGAATTCAAGTGGTTCCCTTGAAGACTTTGGAGATGGTGCTTCCTCAATCCATCAAGGTATTGGTGCATCCACCAGTGCAATTCCTTCTGTAAAAAACTTTCAAACGCACCGCAATATACATGATGGAAGTGACAGTGAATCTGAGAGCGTTGACGTTAATTCTTGGACAAGATCAGGTGGACCTTTGATGAGAACAACATCAGCAAATAAATTCATCGACTTTGTCCAAAATTTGGACATTGATGCTGAACTGAACAGAAGTTTTCTGGCTATTCCTAACTCAGCGACGGTTCAGATGGGAGGCAATAATCAGTATTATCAAAGCCCAAGGGGTACAACACCCGACAGAAGTCCCGAAAGCACTAAATTCGATAAGAGGGATTTTGGAAATATGGTTTCAGTAAATGGTTCGAGCATTATGGTGACTGAAGGTGATCTTTTGCAGCCTGAAAGGATACATAATGGGATTGTATTCAATATTGTGAAGAAAGAAGACTTAACATTGTCAAGTAGGAGTAGTCATGACATGGAAAATTACGGCAGTGAAGTTGCTGAATGCGTACAACTTGATTGTCCGGAAAAGGACATGGATGCTAGATCTGCATCTGAATGCGGTGATGCTGATATCACTTCAGACATCTGCTTAGAAGAAACGGCACCCAATTGCCAGTCGACGGATCAACCTAATGTAGATGATTGTAATCATCAGAGCATTGTGGATGGTTGATTTTAACATCTGTTTTGCTAAGAGATTTATTAAACAATTAGGTACAATTATTGACAGAATGAGGAGTTCATACTTTTTCCAGATTGAAATAAGTACTAAGAATACTGCTTCAAGGCTACATGTTAGCTTGGCTCAGTAGCTTCTGCAGTACCTTGACAGAGAATTTGATTCTGAATTCTGCACCCATGAAGCCATTGACTCTGTAAATTACTTGTGTACACAAATGAGATTCATATGGCTCGATGAATGAAAAAATCCCTCTCTCTCTCTCTCTCTCTCTCTCTCTCTCTCTCTCAGTTTGATTATATATGTGAAACCATATGTCTACTGAACTTGTGAAGTTGCATCGGTTAAGTTTCTATTATATAGATTCCTACAGAACTAGTGCATTGAAGTTTTGACTCTTGATAATTCTAATATTGTTAGTGTTTTGAAGTTTGACAATTAATATTATCAAAGGGAGAAGAATGGACATGTATTCTCTGATTATCTGTTAAATGTCTGTTAAAAAAATAAAAACGAACTGAAACGGAAATCTTCACATGGTCTTTTGACCTTCACAAATCAAAGTTTATATTGTGTTCGTTAGTTGTTTTATTCAATTTAGAAACGCCAATTCATGAGAAAATGCCTTCTTGATTGCATACTCCCAATCTTGTGTATCAGTTTTCTGTGATTATTTGTTTTGAAACCAGACTCAGTTTATTGAGAATTAGATTCTTTTTACATTTGTGGAGAAATTAAATTTGATTATTCTATTTTCTTCCTGCATGAACATAAAATAGATAGTGTGGGAACCTAATTTTAAGCAAACCCTAGGTCAAATATTTCATTCCATTGATTTAAATCTCCTAAAATCAGAAAAATAATTCCTTTCCCAACAAGGACTATTTTTCCCCAAACCCTAACCCTCTGAGACCACTATAAAAGGATGGCCACGCACAAGGGTTGAGGTACGTCTGAAATCTCTACTGAAACTCTGCAGAAAATTCCTCTCACAAACCCTAGCCACCTCCCCTCTCTCTCTCTCTCTCTCTCTCTCTCTCTCTCTCTCTCTCTTACATAAGGCCGGTTTACACCATAAACACATCTCCGTACCCTAGTTAGCTAGTGTTTTTCTTACAAACTCTTGAACTAATTTAGGCATCGGAGGGCCTTTGGCCAACACCCCCTGGGTGTGGCCCTCTTATTTGTTCTATTTTGCAGGGAGAAAGTGGCGGCGAAGAAGAGAGGGGAATCTTCCCAATCGAATATTCTCGTGGAGAATTTGCTCCCACAAATCGGTGCTTTCATTGAGAGCACGAGATATACTCAAAGCGTGCTCCAAACCTATTTTTTCAATCCACCGAAGCCTTTCCAAACAACCATGGTTGGAAGCAAACGCCTTAGGAGCAAAACCACCGCGACTGCGCACTCCGGAATGGCCGAAGCCTCGCTGCCACCACGAGGTACAGCTGCTGCCAGCAATTTGCAGCAACCTCCCATCGCTGCCAGCACGTTCCAGCAGCTTCCCGGCGAGATCCAGCAACATCCCATGGCTGCCAGCGCGTTCCAGCAGCTCCCAGGAGACTTGCAGCAGCCTCCCATAGCTGCCAGTGCGTTCCAGCAGCGCCCCGGCCAGTTTCAGCAGCCTCCCATGGCTGCCAGCGCATTCCAGAAGCTTCCCAGGGAGTTCCAGCAGCCTCCCATGGCTGCCAGATCGTTCCAGCAGCGCCCCGGCCAGTTTCAGCAGCCTCCCATGGCTGCCAGCGCATTCCAACAGCTTCCCGAAGATTTCCAGCAGCCTCCCATGGCTGCCAGCACGTTCCAGCAGCTTCCCGGAGGGTTCCAGCAGCCCCTCGTGGCTGCCCATGCTGTCCAGCCACCTCCGGCAGCTACGCAACCTCTCCAAACAAATGCTATAGCAATCGGAACACAGCAGCAGCTGTGCCATGTGGCTGCGGAAATTGCAGCGCAGCCACGCAGCCCCGTGGCCTCCTCCGTCATGCAACCCCAAGGCCTAGGTGCCGGTGCCGCCACCCATGATAGTGCCGCCATTCGTGACCACCTCAATGCCATCTCGGGCCATTCCCTAGTCTTGGAGCAAATCCATTCACTCCCTCCTTTGCAACCACACTTGATGTATGCACCCGTGTACACATCTAATGGAACCCTAGCCCATCTGCCATTGGGCCCGATCCACACCTTTGTTCCCGACCCGCGTAGTCAAGTGAGCCTTAACTCATGAGTTGATCAGCTTACACAAAGGGTCGATGACCAAAACAATTTAATTGGCCAGCTACTCAGGCAGATCAACTTGGGTCAAGACTCTGGAGCCCATGACGAGGAGAGAAGGATCCACGAGCATACCAGCGAGCATTTTGAGGGATCCCAGACTAGAGAATCAGAGACAAACTAGCAGGGGAGAGAACGAGATCGAGTTGACGAGACGCATACATCTACAAGCCGTACTCTGAGCCAATCAACAATCCATTCAAGACGAGGCTCACAGGGGCACGAGTCCATGAACGATTGCGTTACAAACACAACAACCGACGTTCACTAACCCGCTCGAGAACCAACTCGGGTGACAACTCGTGGAGGAATCTTGGCAAGCTCAATCCACCAATCTGCCTCACGGGCAGGGCAACCAAGGAGGTCAACTTCTTCAAGTCGACGAGGAAGTCAATCATCCCCGCCTGAATCATGAGGGTCGCCAACGTGATCGGCAAGCTATACGTGCGGAGGACGTCGAGAACTTCGTAACTTAAAGATTGGTGGAAATTTCGAAGATGCTTTACGCAGGGAGGTGGACCAAGCAAACTATACACACTACCAAAATCGAGCAGACTGCTCGCTCAAAGAGATTCTCAATGCCTTCATTCACGCATTTCAAAGGAAATTCCGATCCCGAGAGCCATCTAAAGCACTTCAAAAGTATCATGATCTTCTACAAGGCTAACGATGCGCTGATGTGCAAGGTGTTTGCAATGACCTTGCTAGGAGTAGTCCAAGACTGGTTCCACACCCTTTCATCCAGGTCGATCAGCAGCTTCAAGGAGCTAGCTTATGTCTTCACCAAAAAATACACTTCTTACTAGACGATCAAGAAAAACTCGGACCACCTATTCAGCCTGCACAGAAGCACGATGAATCCCTCCGAGATTACATCAAGAAGTTCAAAGCAGAAATGGCAAACATCATTAGATGTGATGATCGAATTGCTTCATTAGCCTTCAAGAGGGGCTTGCCAATTGAGTGTCAGCTATACCGCGAGCTAACCATCTCTCCCTGCCAAACACTAGTAGAATTCTTCGCGACAGCAGAGCGCTATGCACTTTGGGACAATGATCGAACCGTCGCAAAGAAAGCTGCCAAGCAAGTCGATCAACCGGTTGAGCAGGCAAACCAAAGAAACGACATGATAAAAGACAAGGATGGAGGCAAGCGCGGATTACAACCTCAGGGAGGTGCTCCAACAGCTGAGAGCTACACCAAGTTCACTATTCCGATACAGCAAATCCTAGCCCAAGTAAAGAACATGCCTTGGTTGAACAAAACCATCGCCTTTGAAGGGAAACCCAGCCAAGAAGGATACCAATAGATACTGCGAATTCCATGAAGGGCACGGTCATTACACAAATGACTGTTTCGCCTGGAAAAAGCACCTCGAAAAACTGGTCGGAGACGGCCATTGCAAGGAATTCATCGCAAGGAGGGCTATCCAGCAAATCAAAGATCGTGACGCAGCTGCCAACGAACCTCTATGAAAAAATTCATACGGATCAGCACGATCCTCGCCAATTCTAAGAGCTCGAGCTGACCACCAAGGAGCATAAGAGAAAGATCATGCAAGCAACAAAAGCAGGTCTCCCAAGCCGTCACCTGCTACCCAGTCATGGAAGATGATCCCGGCATCATCTTTTAAGGAAAGGAAGTTCCAAGACAACGGAATGCCCATCACCTCAGGAGGTACTATCCACGAAGCTCCTCACCTATTAGCTCGGCTCTAAGTAGGCGACTAGCCCTCCCTCATCTCTATTGAAGACAAGTTACTTTTGATGTTACTCCTGCAACTCATCTCTTTTATTCAATAAAGCAATGTAGTCACACATACATCAATACAAAGTTCAAGCTTTTCTTTCCAATGGAATGTTCACAAATGCAATTGACATGTCTCCGAACGTAGGCCAAACGGGCCACTTTCATCAACACGTCTCCGAATGTAGGCCAAACGGGCCCCACTCATCGACAAGTTTCCGGACGTAGGCCAAACAGGCCGCTCTCATCGACATGTCTCCGGACGTAGGTGAAACGGGCCACACTCATCGACACATCTTTGGACGTAGGCCAAAAAGGTCACTCTCATTGACACGTCTCCAGACGTAGGCCAAACGGGCCACTCTCATGACACGTCTCCAGATGTAGGCTAAAAGGGTCACACTTATCGGCACGTCTCCAGACATAAATCAAACAGGCCGCTCTCATCGACATGTCTCCATACATATGCCAAACATGCTGCAACATGAGAAAAACATCCTATGAGTTATGCAGAGCATGCCCGGAGTCCCTTAAGAGGGACCATGGCACTTATAAATTTCCCAAGGGAGACACACAATCAAGATACTGGCTTGTTACTCAAGTAGTTCACAAGTCAATACGCAAATTGAAGTTAAAAAAAAATAAACTGAAATTTCCAAAGCAAGCTGACCAACTAGCCAAGTTCAACAAAGAGAAGATAGTCAGATAAGACCAATTATTCTACACAAGAAAACAGACTACAAAAGCTAAAAAGAAATGAAGGAGTCTTCATCTACTCTAAGATGCCAGCAGGAGATCCCTGGTCTACAGCCTCTTCGGCATCCGCCTGATCAGCCACATTCTCAACAGCTCCACCTGCTTGATCCGTGATGTCTGCCACTACCTCATCTGCTGCATCCTCATCTGTTTTATCCTCTTCAGCTACCGTCTTTTCAACCACCTGCTCTTCAGCTCCTTCTATGTCCACGGCATTAACCTGCTCACTTTGCATATGGGGCAAGTCAGAACAGAGCATCTCGATGTCTTCATCTCCAATGGCATAGAAGAGATCATTTCCATTTGTAGTCCAAGTAGCCCAGCTTGTACGCATTCATGGTAGCTTCGAACTAGGACTTTTCATCAGACTTGTTGTAGGCGCCAAATCTAGCCAGAAGCTTGTCAAAACTAAAGGAGACGTCAGCATTCTTGCGCTCAAGACGGAAGTAAGCATCTTTTCGACTAACCAAGTCAATAGCAGAAGAAGAGGCAACAGCAGACGAGTTTCGGATAGTTTCAGCAGCAAGAGCTACTCATTTTTCAAGCATATGAAATATTGTTTCCCTTTGTTTTTCCAAGGAAAGACTTGAGACTGTCTCAAGATCACCAGCCTGATGGATATGATCAACCAGCTTGAAGCAAACAAACGGGCTTGACAGGAGGTTTATCGTCAGCAGATCAGACACGTCTGCATCCCATGCAGGGCTGGACTTGTCCACCTTGGGATCTGCCACTGACGTTATAGAAGAACCCTTCACCTGGACAGATGACTCTCTCGTCTTCTTAACTGCCACCATCCTTAACTCTCAAAGGAGTCGACGATGCTGAATCAACTCCACGCTTGAATGCTCATGACTTAACAGCTGGATCGCGATAGTTGAACGAATGAGCACACCTCCCAGTTCGATCTCCATCCCTTGACTGTGCAGATGACTAGAACTTCAGAGAGGAATACCAACATCTTTTTACTTCTCGGCAAGCAGACCCCTTGCAAATCACAGTCTCCAAGCTTGTTTGTAGGAGACTCAAGTGGAACATCCTGAACATTACGTATATCGTCAATCTTCTTACTATATGCACCAACAAGATGTTTAAACCTTGCTGATGGCGACGGAACATCTCTTACTTGAGTCTTCTCAGCATAAGGGATCCTTGGTTTTTTCCTCAAAGGAGTCACATCTTTCACCAACGAAGTCGTAGCTTCATTTCTTGAAGACTTGACATATCGGCCTTCCTTTTTAAAAGGAGTCCGGCATAACACTCCTCCTGCCCAGCCAGCAGATCATCATAGTCTAGACCATTCTGCTTCCATTTTTCAACATATTGGACATAAGGCAGACCACCAACTTCCTCTCGGTACTCACTCAGCAGCCACCAGCAGTCACCGCTACTCCAACTGTCTTCAGCCACCAGCAACGACAACCAGCCTGGTCCCACCTAGCTGGTCCTCACCGCAAAAAAGAGTAGACAAAGAAAAAAATATACGTGCTCGACTTACCTTGGGATGCACGACAACTCATCTCTTCGACAAGTAGTACAAATTCTCCAAGATCTCTCTCAAGCTAGAAAGTAAAGAAGTCAAGTTTGCGATGTGAAGAAGAGTGAAGAGAAGCCCTACATTTATACAGGTTGGGCATCCTAGGTCAAGAAAGAATCGCAAGCCCATTCCTATTGGGAACCCAACTCCAAGAACAATTAAAAGCTGACTCCAATTGGGAGCTCAAATCCAAGAAGGAAGCCCAGTTACAGCTGGACAGCCCAACAGTTAATTCACACCTCCTCCATGCCGCCATGTGTCATGCAGAAGCTGGGGGGCATTTGTAAGAACCTAATTTTAAGCAAACCCTAGGTCAAATATTTCCTTCCATTTGGGGAATATTTGATTTGGGGATTCTTGCCTTGATTAGGGATTTGATTCGCATTAAATCCCTAATTGATTTAAATCTCCTAAAATCAGAAAAATAATTCCTTTCCCAACAAGGATTCTTTTTCCCCAAACCCTAAGCCTCTGAGACCACTATAAAAGGATGGTCACGCACAAGGGTTGAGGTATGTCTGAACTCTCTACTGAAACTCTACAGAAAATTCCTCTCACAAACCCTAGCCACCTCCTCTCTCTCTCTCTCTCTTTTACATAAGGCTCCAGCCGCCCGGTTTATGCCATAAACACATCTCCGTACCCTAGTTAGCTAGTGTTTTCCTTACAAACTCTTGAACTAATTTAGGCATCGGAGGGCCTTTGGCCAACACCCCCCGGGTGTGACCTCTTATTTGTTCTATTTTGTAGGGAGAAAGAGGCGGCGAAGAAGAGAGGAGAATCTTCCCAATCGAATATTCTCGTGGGAAAATTTGCTCCCACAGATAGTGCTGGTAGTTATCTTGAATTTGCAGGATTTGTTGTAAGTTCAGTTTGATAATGCCAAATGTTTTTATTTGAGTTTCATTGATCCTTTCATGTTTAGCCTTTTTTATTTATGAATTATTTTCGTTGATCTTGTGAATTATCATTTACATGCGTATGTATACAAAGAAAACTAAAATTTAAAAAAAATAAAAAAATAAAAAAAGAGGTTGGGAAAGTAAATTATATTTATGAATTACCTGTTCACACCTTGACATCAGTATACATCCTTTCTTTCTAGTTTGAGGTTTTTCATTTTTTATTGTTGTGCTAATGCTTAACAATTAAAATCGAGTGCTGCTATTTTCACTTCCTTATCCTATTTTCCCACTCACTATGTAAATTTGAAAAAAACAATCTTATCTTTCCACTCACCATTATTCCTGAAATACCCTTTAATCAATTTTGAGGAAAACACAAACAAACACAACCTACCAATTAACTTTCGCCTATGTCCCACAAAGTCAAGCCATTCGCATAAGCTTCAAAACAATTTCGCAGAATTTCAAAACAAAACTCAAATACAACTTTCCAACTCCTTGAATCTCAAATACAACTTCACCAAACAAAATATATGTACTTTTGCTGAACACCACAAAGTCAAACCATTCCAAAGCTTCAAGGGATACCCAAAAACTCCAAAACCAAGCTCAAAACAACCCCAATTTTGTTCCAATTAGCTTCACAAACCAGCAAAAGTTCCAACTCAGATTCCTATAATACTATAACCACAAATATTAAATCTCCCTGTAGCTTTAACCCCAAAACAAACAAAAAAACAATTCAAGCAAACAGACCAAAAATCTTACTAAAATTGAACCACAAGCATCCCCCAAAAAGAAAAAAAAACCCCAGTTTCAGAAACTCCAAAACCCACCTACAAATTTTAGTTTTCTTTTTCTTTTTCTTTTGGGTAAATAAGAAAACCCACCTACAAAAAATTTCGAATGGTTCACAAGACAAAGAGTAAACGCAAAGAAACATAGCAAAGTAAGATGAGAGGAATTACGCTTTGACTTGAGGAAGTGATACGACAAAGAAGAATCAACCTGGATTTGTTTTCCTCTTGAGCTTATCTCCTCAGAGAAACAAGACAAGTAAAGAGAAAGGTATAAATTTGTCATTAAAAGTCATTTTACAAATGGGTAAATTTGTCCTTAAAAATTTGAAGATAAGGTGGGTGGGAAAATAGGACAAGTGAGTAAAAATGACAGCACTCTTAAAATTCATTAGATTAATCGAGTGGTTAATATTATCTTAAATGCATGTAAATGCACCAATGCTAAATACATAGACTCGGAATCAGATGGAGCTTATATATGCATATAACTTTGTTTAAAGTTAAGAGTAGAAAAAATATATATTTGTAGTTTGTTGTGTCTCATGTCTGGACTTTACATTAACGTATTGTTGAATGAGAGTCACTTCGGTGAGCTTTTAGCATGAGAATATTGTCATTACTTTCTTGATATGATGAATATCAATTTTATTAACTAGCATCAATGTCTTAGGTACATGGTTCATTGAGAATATAAGTGCGTATGTGTGGCTGAACATGAGATACATGGTTCATTGAGAATTTTATATATATGTTCAATTATTCTAAATTACATCCTGCAAGTACAAATGTGTGAAAATATTTTTTCTTTGAAATTAAATTCTGAAAACTATATGGGGGAGTTGAGATTTGTTGTTCCCAAATTCCTTGTCCCCTCCCTGTCTCTTATCTAAACTTTTGACATGTGTCTCCACCTTTAACAATACACAAACATAACTTGTATAGAAAATAATGTAAAACATTAATATGCGGTTTTTGATGCTTTTTTTGGTCCAAATTTTAGATCATGGACAGGAAGAAGGAGACAGGGAATTTGGGGACAGCAGATCTCACACTACTACAAAAAAGGCCAAAGACGACGGGAATTCACCGTCGTGTATTCAGTTTTCAAACCGTCGTGAAATCGACCAACATCTATTTGGGTGTCAAACTACAACAGCTTTTCACCGTCGTTGTTTATCCATAACGACGACGGTTTTTAAAGAAAATTGTCGTTGTTTAGAGGTAAAGATCGTTAATTATAGGAGGAAAGATGACTGTTTTTAATAAAACCGTCGTGTATTGTATGTAAAGATGATGATTTTTTTATGAAAACCGTCGTGGATTGTTTATAAAGACGTCATCTTTACATACAATAGACGACATTTTTTTATAAAAAGCGTCATCTTTACATACAATAGACGACCATTTTTTATAAAAAGCGTCATCTTTACGTACAATAGACGACGGTTTTTTTATAAAAAGCGTCATCTTTACTTACAATAGACGACGGTTTTTTTTTATAAAAAGCGTCATCTTTACGTACAATAGACGACGGTTTTTATAAAAAGCGTCATCTTTACATACAATAGACGACGGTTTTTATAAAAAAAACGTCATCTTTACGTACAATAATGCTTTTTGATTTCCTATGATGCTATACAATGATTTTAACTAGAAAACCAACCATAATGCTTTATTAATGAATATATAATAGTTTCTTTCATAAAACTTGAAGATTCAATAGTTATTACATAGTTAACCAATCTTTATTCTACAACAAACATAATTCCTAACAAGACCTACGTACTCCTAATCCAAGCATTCCTCATCCAAACATACAAATGATGCACAACTGAAGTCTCCTCCATCATCCCTGTAAATAAATCAAAATGACAAAGAGAGAAAAAAAAAGAAGCTAAGATTATAAACATAAAAAATTAGGTGGAAGAGAAATTTTACCATTGGTCCATATTTCCATAGAAAACTTGTAAAATGGGCATAAAAAAGACCATCGAGAACCTGCAAATTTTCAACAACAAAAAAACATACGACTCACATAGAAAACCTACAAAAGAAAAAGTTATAAATCTGCAAGTTTCCTCCTCATCTCCTGATAACCAAATCAGAAAATCTAAAAAGAAACCAGAAATAAAAAAAATTATGTAAACAAATCAGACAAATCAAGAGAGACAAAATCTGAAATTAGGGAGACAAAGAACATACCAAAAACACAAAGAGACTAATCCATAATTCACTAGCAAGATATAGAAGGGTATTAAGAGATTAGGTGACTTTCAAATCAAACCTTTCAACCAGCTTTGATTCTCAAATACAGAACATCCCTCTACATCTTATGGATTTGCTAAGACCTCAATCTCTCAACTCCTTCATTGATATCGATTTTTTCATGATTTTGTAGAGAGTTTCATGAGGGTGTTTTAGAGAGTGCAGGAGGGTTTCAAGGAGGGAGAGATAAGGTTTTCAGAGACGGGGGAAAATCTGAAAATTTGTCGAGCGCGAATTCACTTAAATAGACTTTTTTTAGCGTGTTTTAAAAGACGACGCTTGTTAATGAGAGATAAGATTTTCAAAGACGGGTGAAAATTTGAAAATTTGTCGAGCGCGAATTCACTTAAGCGGCCATTTTTTAGCGTGTTTTAAAAGACGAAGCTTTTTTTATAAAAAAAAATTTGTCATCTTTACATATAATAGACGACGGTTTTTTTATAAAAAGCGTCATCTTTACATATAATAGACGACGGTTTTTATAAAAAGTGTCATCTTTACATACAATAGACGACGGTTTTTTATAAAAAGCGTCATCTTTACGTACAATAGACGACGGTTTTATAAAAAGCGTCATCTTTACATACAATAGACGATTTTTTATCGCTACACTCCTTGACCCTATATGAATACAATGACTGAATTTGATCTTCAATTTAAAATATTTACACTAGTGGATACCACAAAATCTTATGTTATATTTAACGAAAGTATAAATAAACTCTTAATTGTTAGTGAATATTTTTTTTATGGCATACACATTTTAAGAAACTAGTTTCAACGATCCAACCGTTAAACTTGTTTGTTTATACTTCGAGATCATATACGCCAAAAATCGGAAAAAATAAACATTCAGAGATCAAGTAATGAGACAAAAAAATTCGACGGTTATAAATGAAAAATCATGATTTAACGGTTATTTTAACTCCGATTTTGATGATTTTTTACCACTACACTCCTTGACCCTATATGAATACAATGACTGAATTTGGTCTTCAATTTAAAATATTTAC